GAACTATTGAAGGCTTTGCACCGTGGAAAAACGGGAAAGCGTGCAGTTCAAGAATCAAATGCTGTTGATGATAACAACATACGAGGCACAGCCTATTACAAGCGCACGGTTCGTATCGAGTGTACTTCAACATTATCAGCAATATTCCCATCTGATATTCACATAAAATCATTCTATGAAACAGCATCTACTGAAGAAAATCCCCTCGGTCTAATTTTGCCCTCAGTTGTAATGCAGACAACCTATGGTGCTTTCCGATCCAACAAATTAGTTGTCTGCGTTATGGAGGGAAATGAGTTACTGCAACGGGTTCGGGATTTAGCTGAAAGTCAGTCATTGAGTAATTTCACTGACATATCAAAAACGGTGGCAGCACAGATTAGTTGTGAGTGCAGTAGTTTCTTGATATGTCCAAAATACGACCGAAAAGTCTTACTTGTTCGGGGTCTGGGAGTGGCAATGGGTGCAGCAGCGAAGCAAGCCCACTATCGCGCGGAGTATAGAGTGTTGGTCGATCTCGTGATTGCAGAGTTGATGCTTCGTCATAATCTAGTTTTACTTCAGGCTCCTCGTCTGACCAACGATGTGGAAATGATTCTACGAGAACTTGCTATGGCATGCTTTTATTACCAATTGACAACTCGAAGGTCGAGATGAGAACGTCATATTGCATCAGCTTAGAATGCTGTGACTCAGAACAGGAGATGAGCCCGACTTGAATTCTCCTCTCTGTCAAGACTGAAAATGGGGTACCTTTCTTCTAATGATAAAAGTGAATTTCATTGTTTCTACTAGTAGTAGTAGTAAAATGCGCAGCAAAAAATGCACAAAAAAACGTGTACTGATCAATGAGAATGATGTTTAAAGTAAATTATAATGAATGTGTGGGAGTGACTATCTAATAGTGCTGTAAATTGTGTGCTAGAAGAAAAGTGAGTTGATGCTCTTATCAAGGATTGACAAACTATGAAGTCTAAGACCGATCAGAATGGAGATTGAGTGATGTGTGAATCAAATGAGTCAAGTCACTCACACCAGTGAATCAACTGAGTCATGTTGATCTAATGGATCCATAGGATTGAGTGAGTCTGAACAGATACGTACGTACTGTATTGGAAGTATACATATGTACTGTATTGGAAGCATGCGTACATATGATGCTCCCTCGGAATGGATGGACATACTATTCCTACCTACAAATCATAAGGTACTATTCATATAAATCCGCTGTGGATGAAATAATTGATAGAGTACATCGATGGAATAGATGGTCCCCTTGGATCAGTCCTCATCATTGATAGTTGTGCTATTTAAACAACATTGTACCAGTCTTTGCCATAAAAAATCTTAATGTTATTTTTAACCTTGTGAGCTGATAGTGTTGCTGATACGGAGGACGCTTGGAGGCGTGCTGATACGGTGTCGCTGATACGGATGCTGAAGTGTTGCTGATACTGTTCCTGGTGAGCATCGCTGCTGATTACTGCTTTATGCGTTGCTGATATCAACGATTTGTCGATTTGTTGATAGCGTTGACGCGTTGGAAGCTTTCTTGGATTGATAGTGTTGCTGATAGTGTTGCTGAGTACTGTTGGTGATACTCTTGCTGGAGATTTAGTGTTGCTTATTAGCGAGGATGCTGATAGTGTCAATGGAGGGGTGGCAAGCAATTGTCGGTTGTCGGAACGAGAAGCGCTCTCACTGGAATTATGGTAGCTTCAGCACATGGTTGTGAGGACTCCTCCTCTGTGTCCAACAACTGACAAGGAGTTGCCTTGCTGGTATTGGCATCAAGGATCAGTGTTGGTGCAACATTGGAGGTGCAACATTGGATGTTATTGTAGGTAAATATGTTCATCGAGAATTTATTTCAAGCACTCCGACGGACATCATGACAAAATTTCTATAGAAAAAATGGTGTGTTCCGACAAGATTTTATGATGTCAGTCGGCGCGCTTGACATATTTTACACAGGAAAAAGATGGCCAGGAATCCAAGGTTATATCCGTACATTGGCTGGCCAAGCCTATACGATATGGCCAGAACCATATCTTTTGGTGGTAGGATTCTTCTAGCTACTCGGAGGGGCGGCACTTCCCTCCAAGGAGTGTTAGTGGAAGTGCAACCAGGGGTTTCTTTCACTGGAATTAAAAGTATTGACTGAGCTTGGTTTGAAGTAAACTGGAAGAATTGACAGGAGGAGCCAAAGAAGTCTCTGGCACGACAGGTTGTTTGTGTCGCTTCTTTTTGGAGTAGGCGTCAAAGACCAGTGAATCTTGTGTGACGCTCTCTGGTGGTTGCTTACTATGTGGCAATGATGTAAAGTACTGGGTAATTGGGCAGGTGTTGGAGACAGAGGCAAGTGTTGCTTTGGTGACACTCACCAGAATCATTTTCTCGTTGACTCAATGATATCAATATTCATATCATTCTTGTCTCAGCCTTGAGAATCAAATCAAGAAGAGTGACATTGAGAAGGTTTCCCTTTTTGTGGATTGCCCAGCCAGATCAGAGACCACCAGAAGAGGATCAAATCTAAGAACAATCCAAATCCCTGCAATGAGACAGAAAAGAAACAGCTCAGTTTTCTCCGGACAATATGGAGTACAGGAACTGTTCTATATTCAGGAAGCTTTTGAGGATGCAGTAGATGATCTGAAATTGATGGATGAACAAATAGATGAGAATTGGGTCATGGTCTTGGCCCATCAACCGAGACAGAATTGGAATAATATGTGGAAAGGCCCTGACAGGTTGAGAATAGGGAGAAACACCAGATAACAGTGGAAACAGGCCCTTGTCTCCTTTAGAGAGTTCTATGCACCATCAAAGCAAGCCAGAGACAAAGCAATTGCATACTTGCAATTGGATGCCATACAAAAGCCCCATGGAACCATGTGTCAAGCCTGTGCAGAAAAAGTTCTTGTTTGCTGCAACAGAGGTCCCTTATCTGAAAGAGAGATCAAGGAGATTCTTTTCTGCTCTTTCCCAAATGCTTGGCAAGATAAATATATCAGTTGCTGGAAAGATATTCTAGAAGACTCACCTCAGGAGATAGTTAAGTTCATGACGGACCAGAAGGGACTTGCGGACAAAAATGACAGGAAACAACCAAAGAAAAGACCAGCAGATACACCAGATGATGCAGGACACAGAAGGAATGGAAAGCAAAGGAGACGCAACGGCAGTAACAGCAACATCAACCACGGCAATGAAAGACAGAATAGGATCAATGTGAAGCCCTGCAGGAAGCACAGTGGGGAGAATGCCCATTCAACAGGAAGGGTAACAATTACCAGGGAGACAATTGGAGAAATAACAATAACAACCAGGGGAACAATCTGCAGGGAAGCTCCAATTCAAGCAGCACGACATATACACCAGGGTACCTATACCCTTGATGAATGTGGCCAGCTAACTCAAATCCAACAACAGCCTCCATGTCAACCCCAAAGTTATCATCTTACACAAGTGCAGAATGTGTAACATATGCATAGTACCCCAGGACCATCGTACGAGGGCGCAAAAACTGATGCCATGAGAGCTCCTTTGATGTCTTTTTATGAACCCGTCGAGTTTCTCTGAAAGAAAACAATGCGCGGATCCTCTTCTTGCTTACAATTGACATCTCATGATTTTCTTCGGATACAATCTCATCTGTGCGTGATGTTGATTCCAATAACTGAATAACCTGCTATACAGTTTGCGCGGTATGAATAGGTACGAGGTCCAGGCTGGAAAGTGACCGAAATTCGTGTCGTTCGAATATCTTGTTATTTCTGATGCAAAAAGCACAAAACAGTTCGAGTCCCGGTGCTGATGGGGACAAGGATTGCAGCCATCGCAACGGCCTTCCACGGTAAACTCGGCTACCCCCCAACCCCAATCTCCCAGAGAAGGATATCCGCATCGTTTGCATTATTGTCTTCTGCATCCACAGCATTTTGGGAAATTGGAAGATGTGTTGCTATCATGGAGGGACAACCATGGGCGTCGTCGACTCATGGTCCACGTTCCGCTCTGAATGGGATGGATTTGAGGCATCAAAATGGTGGAGATCACAATTTCTTGGGAAGTCAGGTATACAAGAGCAATGAACCTCCTTTTTTCGTATCGCAACCACCAGATACACCAGTGGATAGATTGAAGTTATCTACAAAGAAAAACTACTCGTTGCGAGTGAAGGGGTATACCACACCGAACTGCGGAGGAGCGGGCATCGGACTGATATTGGAAGATTCTTGTCGAAAGGAAACGGTGTGGTCGGCACGCATGTACGTGCCTGGTGACAGAACCGTGTTTGAGGCGGAATATTCGGCAATCATATTGGGAATGGATTACTCACACAACGTTTTGGGAATCCAACGACTGACAGTATTTTCCAGCAACCATATCATCGTCAACCAGTTCCAAGGTATTTTTACTGTTACCAAGTCGAACCTGGCACTTTTGTTAGACACAATCAGGGAGTTTCAACGGTGCTTGCAAAGTTTTGCAATGCAAGAAATCAGCCCGGCAAAAAACTCCAAGGCGTTTGCCCAGGCTGTAAAGGCATTGGCCACTCGCAAATCACTGAACGTAAGAGACAGGTATTGGGAAGTCGAGTGCCACGATCCGATACGAAAGATACGACGAAATCCACTCAAGATGGGTCGATGGAGAAAGCCCGACCGTCCGGCCCAATCGGCAATCATCGATCCATCCAGAATATACCGTCTACAATTCGATGGTGGGGCAAAGGAGTGCCTTGGGGTTGGAATGGTATTGTACGACGATAGGGGCACAGAAATATGGTGTGGATGGCATTTTCATCCGGATGCCGCGTCCAACAATGTTGCCGAGTACATGGGGTTGGTCTGTGGTCTGAGATGTGCTCGTTCGCTGGGTGTTGCGAAGCTAATAGTCGAGGGAGATTCTTTGCTCATTGTCCGACAAATCAACGAAAGATACCGCAAACGAAAAGGAGAACTAGTGATGTTCCGGAGAGAAGCGTTTGAGGTCATCAAGGATCTATCTTATTTTCAGATCCGCAAAATATCTCGGGCCGAAAACAAACGCGCCGACTGGCTTGCAAGCCATGCAATGAACATTCGCCAAAGCGACGGTTTCATTCGAATGAGTTTCAGTGGAGGATAATACAGATAAAAAAGTCGAAAACATCCGAAATACTTTTGCTGGTCACTATTACCTATCAGACCATTGTACTATCTAGCTATCTCACTTGTGTTGACTGTCGTGTGGACAGAAAGCATGGGGTTTGGTTTTCAAATATTTTATCGATCTAACCTCCTCCTCTTCCTTTCATGTAGGAGACTCCCGGTCCCATCTGCCCCGTCCTCGGACCTCCGCTGTTGGCAATGTCCATGGCGTTGCCCATCATGGCACCGGCGCCACCGCCCATCTGCCCCGTTGCCTGGGCCGCGGGGTCTTGTGACCTCGGGCTGATGACGGTTTCGTCGATGGAAAGAATCACGCAGGCCGCTTCCGTCGCCGCCTGGAAGGAATTCATCTTGTTGTCGCTGGGTTCCCAGACGCCCAGGTCAAAGGTGTTGGTGATGCCGCCCTCCTCGATGTTGACACCGTACCAACAGGCGTTCTCGTCCCCCTCCTCCACAAAGTGCTTGCGGCGCAGGGCCGCGAGGACGTCCGTGGCGTCCAGGCCCGCGTTCTCGCACAGCTGCCTCGGGATGACCTCCAGGGCCTTGGCATAGGCCGCCACGATCATTTGCTCCTTTCCCTCGATTTCCAGGGCCCGGCGTCTCAGGGAATTGGCGACGCACATCTCTACGGCGCCTCCACCGGCGACCACGGACCCCGAGGTGATGGTTCGCTTGACGACCATGAGGGCGTCGTGGACGCTGCGCTCGCTCTCGGCGATGAACTGCTCGGTGCCTCCCCTCAGAACAATGGTGCACGTCAGGGACGACGGGCATTCCGTGAACAAATTGAATCGCTCGTCGCCGACCTGTGTCTCCTCGAAGCACCCGCAGGTTCCGAGGACCGACTCGGTCAGTCCGTTGGTGGTCGTCTGGATGGATCCGTTGGTGGCCTTGGCGACCCGCTTCATATCGCCGTCGGCGACGCGGCCCGCACAAAACAGGCCGCGGTCGGCAAAGTACTGGGTCGCCAAATCTCCGATCGGCAGCTTCGACAGCACAATGTTGGCACCGCAGTCGATGCAGGCATCGAGCTTGTCGTAGATGACCTGCCACTCCGCTTCTACGATGGATTGGTAGTCCTTCGGACTAGAAATCCGAACCTCGGCGTTTTCCTTTTCCGACTTGAGTTCGAGCTCGACGTTGAGGAGGAGTATTTTGGGGTTCTCGAACTTCTTGGTCATCTGCTCGAACCCGGCATAGGAAAAGGTTTTCTTAAAGGCCACGCCCTCTACCAAAAAGGACTGGCGGACGTCTCCCCCGGGGATCTGCTTGATGGAGACCCAGTCCATGATTTCGTCGACGTTCCCGGCCTCGTGGAGCTTGGTCACCGCCGAAACGACCATGGGCGCAAAGAGGTCGCGGTGGGAGGAAATGAGCTTGCTGTTGAGCGCCGTTCCGGCGCACTTGAGGAGCATTTCCTCCCGGTCCGTCTCCACGGCGAGCGCCCCGACCTGTTCCACGGCAAACCTCCCCGTCTTGCGGATGGTCTGGATCATGCGCGTCGGGGAGATCCCCTCCTCGACGAGGGCCTTGAGCTTGGTGAGGATCTCGGCCGCCAGCAGGACCACCGAGGTGGTTCCGTCCCCGACCGAGGCGTCCTGGCTCATGGAGATGTCCACCAGGGTTCGTGCGGCGGGGTGGGAGATTTCCAGGAGCTTCATGATCGTGGCCCCGTCGTTGCTGATGGTGGCCTTGGATCCCGCGGCGACCAGCTTGTCCATGCCGCGGGGCCCCAGCGTGGTTCGGACCGCGTCCGCCACCGCCTGGCAGGCGTTGATGTTGCTGACGAGTTGGGGCAGGCCCTGCGTGTTTGAAATCGGATCGAAAGGAACGGGACGGGATGGAACGAAACGAAACACAGTACAACAGAAGAAAAACATTCGGTTTTGGCGATGCACATTGCATTGAAGTGAGTCAAGTTGTTGTTGTTGTTGTTGTAACGTTGCGAAAGACGAACATGAGGCGTTAAGCATTGGAGGCAGCGAAAGAAAGATTCGAAAGAATACAAAGACGACCATCGAGATTTCTGTCCCGACAGCCAAGACGCACCTGCGAAGTATCCGTACCCTCCCGAAGGATAATGATCCCGGGTTGCATTCCTCCTCGATTCATGGTAGTATTTTTGTGCAATCCGGAGACTTATTGGTGTATGTGTGTGCGTATTCCAGGCCTTTCCGAAAAGTAAGGACCCTTTTTTATTTTTGTTTTCTTTTCGTTTTGTTTGTCTATGCTCTTCTATTCCAAACAATTGGCAGGGAGATTCCTAAGTTGCGTTCTTGACGGTCTTTGTCGAGTGGTAGTACGATGTGCTTGGTTCAGATTTCAAATTGCGGCACAACACAATCGGTAGGTTAGGTGTTTCGTGCTTTGGGGAATGTTCAGAAAGCCCATGGATGGATCATTGTTCCCGTGTCGCGCTCTTCGTGGGCCAAGTTTTTTTTGTACGGTTGGAGGGGAACGAGAAAATTCAAAACAAAATTCGAACAAGGGAAAGAGTTTTGCTGGCCCCCCGGCATTTTCGGGATTGGGTCGATCGAGTCATATACCACATGTGCACCGCATGGGAAGCAACTCCATGGTTTTGAAAAAGAGCCTGTAGAAATTTGTACGGTAGAAGGAGCAATGCAGGCAGCTCGCACACATGAACAGGGACGATACGAGTACGAGTCCGAACTCGTACTGTCGTACCCTACGTACCAAGTACTGCCGATGATGAAGGTCGCCATGTATGAAAGATGAAAGAGACTGCTTCGACCGCGGTACGGTACATACGGTACGTTAGTACGGTACTGGGTATGTTATCGGTTATCGCAATAGACATCAGTGAATCCAACACCCCAGAAAGTCAATGCTTGTAAGTACACAAACAATACAACATGGGATACACGAGCAGGACAACCTAGAAATCTCATTGAAATCCATCGATCAACACAATCGGAGACAAAAAACAACAAGCGAACCAGGAAGACGACGAAACAACAGCAAGCGGCAGCAAACGACAACTAACACCACACAACACCACAAACAACCCAAACGCACACACACCACACAGCATGTCCGATGCCATTTCCGTCCTTAGGGGCTGGTCGAACTCCGGCAAGCTGTCGGAGGTGGCCTTTTCCGACGAGGGAAAACTGCGGCTGGGGGAAACCGCGAGCCTAACGGCCTCGGAAACGGTGGAGGTGGCGGTCGGCGGGGGCAAGACCTGCCGCTACACGGTGGGGTCGATCTTCCTGCAGCTCGTGGACGTGAACCAGTCCCTGCTGGCCTACCGAAAGGCCTGCAAGAAGCACAAGGTGAAGGACGCGGTCAAGGCCATCGACAAGGCCGAGCTCATTGCCTTTTTCAAGGGAGGGGCCGGGCCAAAGCCGGCGGTCCCCGAGCACGCACGCGAGGGAGCAGCCCCGGTGTCTTCCTCCAAGCCGGCGCCCCCTCCCCCCCGGCCGGAGGGGGACCGGGGCCGGGACCGCCATTCCAACCGCGAGGACAAGAAGCGGCACCGATCGAGCAGCGAGCGGGAACGGGAACGGGACAGGCACCGGAGCAGCAAGAAGCGGGAGCTCTCGTCGTCGAGGTCGTCCTCCCGCCAGCCCGAGCGCAAGGAAAAGGCCCACAAGCCGATCGATCCCGAGATGCTCTTTTCCAACCTCTCGGTGGTGGTCGGCAAGCGGGAGATCAAGGCCAAGAGGGACGCCGAGCAGGCCAAGCTGCACGCGGCGCTCTCCACCGAGGGCTTTGGGACGGTCGCCAAGGAGCTGATCGCCGAGTTCCGCAGCAAGCACTCGATGGCCCACGAAATCCCCGTGGGAGACTCGGCCTCGATCCTCAAGGCGGGGGCCGGGAAGGACCTCTCGCGCATCCTCAAGCTGTACTCGGAGACCATGGAGAAGAAGAGCGCCCCCGGCCGGAAGCCTACCTCCGGGAGCTCCAGGGCGAAGGGCTTCTCGGACGGCCAGAAGCGGTCCTGGCGTCCGTACCTGGTGGACAAGAAGCCCATCATCGTGTTGCCCAAGGGAATGACCGCCCCCATCACCCTGGTCAACGCCCACAAGTTCTTTGCCGAGTCCCAGTTCGTCAGCCGGACCGTTATGCAGAAGGAGCTCCGCACCAAGCGGCAGGCCCCCAAGACGCACTTCGAGCGGCAGGTCAACGCCCGCTTCGGGGGCGGGACCGTCCAGTACGAGCTCATGGACAACCCCCGGTCGAAGCTCCACCGGCCCGAGGACTGGGAGCGCGTCGTGGCCGTTCTGGCCCTGGGCCAGTCCTGGCAGATGAAGGACTGGCCGGGGCCCTACTCGAACCCCGTCCAGCTCTTCCACCGGGTCTTTGGCTTTTACGTCGGGATGGAGGGAGACAACGTCCCCAAGGAGCTCCAGGGGTGGTCGGTCACGCAGACCCGGGTGAGCCGCGACAAGCGCGGCCTGGACAGCGTCACCTACGCGAGCTTCTGGAACGCCCTCGACGAGTGGATGGCCATCCACAAGCCGGAGCTGCTCCCGCAGCCGAACGAGTAAGCGGCGACGAGCTTTGCGGTGCCCTTCGTTGCGAATACTACTATACTAGAATACTATACGAATTGCCACATCCTAAACCAAACCATAAACCAGACACGGAACAACCGTTAATCTTGTGTTGGATGCCTTTTTGAGACTGCTGCGAACTGAAAATGCTAGTATCCAATGGAATCCTCTCTCGTTCGTGCGAGTGGATTTCGGTGGGAAGGCTTGTTGGCTCGAACGGATTTCGTTTGTCACAACTACTACAAACCGCGAATGCCGGAATCCAAACGGAATTCTAAGATTAAGGAATTACAGTAGTTGCCGCTGTTTTGTACACCAACGGGTAGCATCCCATCCCATCCCATCCTACCACAAAGTGCCGGTCGCCACCGAGCGCAGACCTTGTTTGTTGTTAGAAAACCTGCCTTTCGGGAAGTTGCCGCGTTGCTTCCCGCCAGACCGGTTTCGTTTCGTCGTTGAAGCAGTCGATGCATTCCGTCCGTGCCGATGCACTCCGTTCGATGCGAGTGCCGGCTTTCCCAAGGTTCCGACACGGGACGATTGGATTGGATGGGTGAGAAACATTTATTTTTTTCGATGCAATGCAAGGCAATTGTTTCGGTCCAGCCACCCGTTCTGCAACCATCCGGCGTTTCGTAGTTTGATTCGTTTGGTGCGATTGTGCTCGTGCCTGCGCTATCGCTCGGAATCCAGAGCGTTCCAGCCGCCGCTGCTGCTGCTGCTGCTGCTGGTGCTCGGAAAGGTCCCGGCCGGGGTGAGAATCTGCAGCAAGGCCTTCCAGGCCGGAACCTCCCACGATTCGTCGTAGAAATACACCCTTAGGGCGGTTTCGCTTTCGGTTTTTCCGCTCTCGCCCCCGCCCCTTCCGGCGTTCTCGTCGCTCTCGAACCAGAACCTGGTCCGGCCGATCACGTCGATCCCCGGTTTCCAAAAGAGGCAGGGCGACGCCGTGAGAGACCCGACCATGTTCCACCGGGTCTCGACGTAGGAGCACTCCTTCCCGTCCCTGCGCTGGCTGCCCAGCGAGATGGACAGGAGGTCGGACCGGTAGTCTTCCGCAACGGCCTCCACGATGGGGACGAGGTTCTGGGTGTTCTCCACGAACTTGTCTTTCCCCACAAAGGAGATCGTCGGGTCCGCAAAGAGGCAGTCCTCGCGGAAACACCCCAGATCGAGGTCCCCGGTCCACAGGTAGTTCTTTTCCTCGTAGTCCCTCCGGATCCGGTCCACCAGCTCACCGGGCGACGCCGGCGGGGCATCCCCGGACGCCTTGGAAGCCCTCTCGTTTTCCCCGGCTGCCCCGGACGACGACGACGACGACGACGATGCCGCCGAAACCCGGTTGACGAGGCCCGTCAGGGATCCGACGATGCCCTTCGAGGCGCCGTCCGAATCGGAGTAGGTCGACAGGGAGGCGCCTGTTTCCGTTCCCCCCCGTTCGTCGTCGTTTTCGTTTTGGGCCGCGGGGAGGGGCCGGGTTTGGACGCTCGCGCAGGGGCGGCCCTCCCTCCGAGGCGGCGGAGAAAAGGCCTCCGCCCCCGGAACGGAACGCCAGGGGATCGCCGCCGGGGGACAAGGGGCAAGGCAAACCGCGCACAAGAGCACAAAAAGGCGGCACGGAGCGGACGCCGGGGTTCGGGAAGTGGTGGTTCGCATGCTGCGGCGGTGTCTAACAGTGTGTGTGTATGGGTGTTTGATTGTTTCTGTGTTCGCTTGGTGATGGATGGATGGATGGATGGATGGATGGATTCGGTGTTGGTTCTGCCAAGGCAGGGAGCGAGGCAAACAACCAAGAGCAGCAAATCGGGGATTTCGAGGGCAAGGATCGACGACTTCAAGCCGGATGCCGGTTCCACACCCAGCAAACGAGGTTGTGTTCCGAGAAACGGTTGCGTTCTCTGCTGTAACTGTAAGTATGTGTAAGTAACAAAATTCTCGTTTCGATGGAATGGAAAGCGATGACGGAAGTCGAAACAAAACAGAACGGATTGCAAAAACCAAAAACCAAAAACTCAAAACTGTCCTCTCGCAAGGCACACTACACACTACAGTACACACTACTCGTACTGTATGGATCGTATCCTCGTATCATATCATAGATACGAGGAGAGCTTCTTGCGATGATTTTCGACCCCCTAAAAATGCCGACCGTTGCCAGCCGCTTTCACGAGTACGTACGAATACGAGTACCACTAGTACTGTTTATACGAGAAGTAAAATACATTACGGTAGCGCGTGCGTCCTGTACCGGTACATCTAACGTACGAGTATCAGTAGAGATTGTCGAAGGTCATTTTTCATTTTTGGAACCATATCGCCGTAAGAAACTACGAAGTCTTGCTGCACAATCCAGTGCAGTATCGTCCGGTACCGTACCGTAAGTAGTCCCTCGGGTTGTGACTGAAAATTTTCTCAAGGAGTCTTTTAGTCTTGTACCTTAGGGTGATGGAAGCAACAGCAACAGTCACACACACACACTCGAACCAATCCAGCAATACCAGTAATCATCATTTTGGCAAGGCTCTTTCGAAAGCATTGATCTTCCGGCCGGGAAAAAGAGACAACCGAGAACCCGGGTACTGTAACAAACAACCATGGCGGAATCCAGAGACACCGCCGGGAGCAGCTCTGCCGGCAAACAGAGACGACGAGTGAAGGGCAGCGGTTCCAAGTCGTCGTCGTCTTCGTCCTCGTCCTCGTCCGGGTGTTCGCTCTGTCCGGGAGAGATCGTCTGTACCGACCGCGAGCTCCGAAAGTCCTCCCGGAGCACGGAGCTGGCGCTCTTGCTGGGTGCGGCCATCGTGGGGCTGTACCTCTTTGGATTTGCGGAACTGATGCAGTCGATGCCCGAGATTTCCTCGAGGATCTCGCACTACCGGCTTGGCGGGAACCTGAACCTCGCCAAGATGGAGATCGACTCCGGGATGGCCGGGGGCGAGGCGTGGGAAGAAGACGAAGACCAGGACGGGACGAAGAAGCACAAGTACAAGCGCAAGAAGAAGAAGAACAAGGACAAGAAGAACAAGAACAAGGACAACAACGATAACAATGCGTCGATTCCCACGGGGGTCTGGCCCGTCAGCGTGCGGGACGAGGAGTTCGAAACGATGATCCACGTGGGCGATCTGGAAACCGTGATGAAGGTGCCGAGGTTCTGGTCCCCGCCCGTCCACAACCAGCAGCGGTTCACCCGCGAGCAGGCGAGGAAGATCGGAACCTGCGCCGTCCCGGATCCCTCGAATGGCTCCAGCGCGAGGGGGGAGGACTGCCCGCCGGACGAGCGGACCATCTTCGTCGGGATTGCCTCGTACCGGGATTTCGAGTGCCGGCTGACCCTCGAGAGCGTCTTCCACCGGGCGAAAAACCCGAGGCGGGTCCGCGTGGGCGTCGTGGACCAGATCGTGGAGGGAGAGGACGTCCGGTGCGACGAGCCGGTGAAACCGTGCGGCGAGGATCCCCAACAGGTAAGCGAAGCCAAGCGAAGCGAAGCAGAGCAATCGTTCGTGCAATCTTGCAATGCAATCTTGCATCGGAGTCCTGACGCCCGTTCGTTTCTTTGTGTATTTTACGTTTCTTTGTGTATTTTATATTTTACGTTAGGCACTGTGCAAGTACAGAGATCAGGTGGATGTGTACACGATGGACGCGCCTCTCTCGGTTGGGCCGGTCTTTGCCCGGCACTTGGGATACCGTCTGTACCGAGGAGAGTACTACGCCACTCAATCGGACGCCCACGTTACGTTTACCACAGACTGGGACGCCGATATTATCGAGCAACTGGAAGCAACGAACAACGACATGGCGGTCTTGTCGACCTACCTGACGGACGTACAGGGATCGATTGGCCCCAACGGGAACAGCTTGAGGAACACGAGGCCCATCATGTGCAACACCTATTACGAGGGCGGACCCCAGGGACTGCACCTAAGGCACGGAAGCCAGCCGGAACGGACTCCCGCCATACACGGCACACCGCAGCTCCAGCCCTGGTGGGCAGCGGGATACAGTTTTTCCCGGGGCCACTTCCTGGTCAACGTCCCGTACGATTACCTGCAATCCATGATCTTTCAGGGCGAAGAAATGAGCATCGGCATCCGAGGATTTACGGTGGGATACGACTTTTACGCCCCGGAGCGGTCCGTCTGCTTCCACCACTATGCAACGGGGGCAAACACAAAGGTAAGAAAGAAGGTCAAGCACTTTTGGGAAAACGGATCCAGGTACGCCGGGACGGGAAAGAAGGCCATGAAACGCCTCCTCGGAATCGTCCACATGAATCCGGAAGTCGATCCGTCCGAGTGGGACCACACCGACGTGGACCGGTACGGACTCGGCGCCGTGCGAACGCCGGAACAATTCTACTCCGTCTTTGGCATCGACGTCGTCAAGAAGAAAACCCAGGGACACCTCTGCGAATTCGTGAGCGAGAGGGCAAGGATGCACAAGATGTTCACGCCCAAGCTCCGAAGCGACGGGATGGGAATCGATTATTCCACCATTGACTTCCGGTGGGTAGATCCCTCTCCGGAAACCCGGGAGACCCGGGACGAGTCGTAACAGTACCGTACACCGCCGAAACAGAAACCACCAAGGGGTCCTATTTAATCTCATTATAGTCTCTATAGTTGGCGCGATCGCTTTGCCTACAACGCGTTCGTATTTTCGATCGTCGCATTCCCTGTCGCACCGCAAAGCGGCGCGCAAAGCGGTACCGTACCGTACCGTACGAGATATCGTTGTGCCTACAACACATTCGTAGTACCAGAATCATCGCGTCGTGTTCCCTGTCCCATTCCAAAACGGTCTGAGATCCGACGAGATCGGTTCTGCAGACCAAGTTGGTGCGATATTTTACCTACAACACAATCGTCGTACCAATCACAAACACATTCGCATTACCAATCATCTTCTTCTGCAAAACGGTTTGAGATCGAAGTAGATCGTTTCTGTACCGTAGGTTCATGGATCGCGATTGACTCTCTCCACGGATCAACTAGAGCTCGCGTTGAACCACCTCTTGCTTGTGTTTTTCTCCCTCGGGCCGGCATCCGACAGATCAAACATGTGTGGATGTTGCTGAAAAGCAGCTGCGGCACATTCTTTGTGTCTTTAGCTATCTGTGCCTTTCGTGTGTTGCGCTATGATGAACACCACCTCACCAAAGTATACTAAAGCGTTAACGTTCCGACCAATGACCACCTCATCTATTTTCAAAAACTCACCGGAAAAATGCGAATTACTCGTACTCACGATAAATAAAAAAATAGCTTCCATACTTCTTTCGTTCCCCGCATTCACAACTGATAGACAAACTACCCTAGATGCTCGAGCAGAATGAGAGACTGATAGGGAAAGGGGGTGGTGGCCCCTTTATTAATTTTCTCGCATTTTTTTTCCCGCGCATTTTCGATATAGCCCGACCGTTGAGTTACGGCGAGGAATACTGACGAGGACCGTTTTGGGCACAGTCACCCTTTTACGCATCCCAAATTCACGCGCGAAAAAAATCGCTGTTTTTTCCTCACAATTTTTGTTGCCAACATGACGGATATTGACGCACGCGAAATGAAATCGCACTTCTGACATACTGCACGCTCCCGGCTTGACACCTTTTTTTTTTGGAGCTGACACCTTTTTATTCTTGATGGTGACTTGGAAGGTACGAGCACCGTACATACCGAGATCCCGGCAAAAAAAAAAGAACAGTACTACCATCGAGTTGACACCTTCGCGAGCAAGTAGCGACGGTTCGTTGATCGAACTTCATCTGTTCCGATTTTTCTTTTGTTCTTTCGGGATGCAGCACGGTACCTCCGGTACCACCGCCGGAATTTACCGGATGCATTCAGTGTTTTCACAACCAGTAAGACTGAACGACTGACGCTTTCTCGAGAACTATGAACCTGCCCTGCACGACAAATTTTCAAAGAAAAACCCAGTGTTTGACACCCGACAGCAGATATATTGGCATAACATCCAAAAATTGCAGTGTCTGTCACAAAAGCAGCTGTTCTTGTTTTTTCGCGTTTCGAAGACCTGCGTCTTTTTCGTTGCTAACACACAAACAAATTATTGTACAATAAACAAGATGGTGCCACGACCCCAACACTACAAGATGGACTACCAATCGAAGAGGCTTCCACCCATGCCGATACCGGGACACAAATCGTTCTCTTGCAAAACACCTTCGGACACCTCGTGCCAGGGCGAACGCCGATCGCTGACACCTCTGCCACCGGAGAGGAAGTCTTCGAACTCGAAGCGTTCCAAGTTATCGGCGAAGCCACTGCCTTCTTCCGAAAAGCTATCGCTCCCATCGTACTTTCGGACAAACGAAAAACCAAACCACCGAAGAGACCTTGCTACCGGAGGCTCCGGGAGAGCCTCTGCCGCTCACCCACTGGTTCCCTCGTTCAAGCTGAAACCAAGGCGGCAGAGCGCTGGTCGGATAGACCTCGATTTTAGTTTCGATGGATGAACTTCCTTCCTCCTTAACGTTCCGGAACGCAGGTGCGTACTAGTCGCCGAACGAACGCCACCTGCTTCCACCTGTACTCTACTGTTACACAACAAACACCAGACAAAAGGACGATGTTTGCCCGAGACACGCTCCGGTTCGGAACCGGAGCGCGTCCGAGGCAGATGTGCATTCTCCTGCCATGTATCTCAAGATTAGTTCTGTAAACTACATATATATTTACGATGTTGCTTTCATACTGCTACTATGTATCCGATGCTGTGCCAAACGCGTTGATCGTTCCCTAATATTCTACGATAGTAAACAAACTTTGTTCGCTTCTCATCGTAAACAACGAATTACAGCGCGTCGTACTTCGGAGGTCTTTGTGCAACTTTCGTGTACTTTGATGTTCGATCAATATGGCGCGCCATGGGCTGTTCAACCCGAAAATCGCCTTCCGACAGTTAGCCTACGCGAAACAAAATCACATGCGTTAAAACCGTGTGCACACGTGCGGAGTGTTCCGAAACTCCAAAATATACATAAATATACATATAAACGAAACGATAAAGAGAAAGGGATTTCTGCAAGGGCTTTCGGAAGTGATGCAAGACTTCAATGGTCGTTCGAAGCTTCTAAAAATATTATATACTGCAGTTACAAGTTTCTAGCGCTTGGTTTTGTTTTCGTGCGATTTCGAAACCCACGGTGGTGCGTGTTTGCGAGCCGATTCCGATTGCGAAACGATCGCGGTGCGACCCCAACGGTGTTGTTCTCTGTCTGTCTGTCTCTCTTTCTCATCCTAGTTCGACAGTTCTTTCAAGAGAGCCGCGTACCCCGCGGTGGTGGTGCCCTTCTGCTTCGACTTGGCCTCGATCTTTTTCTTGTTGGCACCAAACGCCTTTTTCACCTCGTCCTTGACGCCCGGCACCCGAAAGAGTGCCGCCGCGACAAAGGCACCGCGGTTGGATCGTGCAACGTCCGGAAGCCTTTTCCCCAGCTTGTCCACGAGCGCCCTGGAAACGCAGGCGGCTTTTTCGTCGCTCTCGGAATCGCACAGGACCAGGCTCTTGACGGACCGGTGCGCTATGGGGTCCTCGAAGACCTCGTCCATCGATGTCGCGCAGGTTTCTGCCACGGCGTCCGCGAGCTTCTGGCTCGGGGCGGACGCATAGACCTCCTTGAGCACGCGGGAGCCGGGGAGCGACCGGAGCAGGTCCCCGGCGTGGTCCGTGCAGGTTTCCAGCAGGGCGTCCCTGATGTGCTTGAGGAGTTCCCTGCGCCGGGTGTCCGGATCCTTCTTGGACGTCGGCACGTCCTTTCCGTTCTCTCGTATCGTGGCAACCGGTTCCAGAATGGAGCGCTCGTACGGGTCGAAGTATTTCATCCGGCTCTCGTCGTCCTCTACCAGGAGCATGAGGAAGAGCTTCGATCCGGTGTCGCTCAGCGCGAGTTCCAGCAGGCCGTTTTTGGCGCCGTTTTCCTCGTCGTTGCCTTCCTTTGGTTTGGTCAGGATCTCGTTCAGGACGCTCTTTTGGATAGAGACGGTGTCGTCCGTCACCTGCACCAATCGAAGCAGGGCGAGGTAGGCATCTCTGTGCAGGAGCGAGGAGCTCGTGTATCCCTTGAGACTCTTGCAACTGCGCTTGCGGTCCTTGGGGGTGCCGTAGCTGGCGCAGGCCGCAACGACGCGCGTTCCGACCCGGGTCGACAGCAGGTGAATGGAATGATCGGCGACGGACGACGATATGCTTCGGATCTCGCTGGGGTCGGCAACCTCGACGTATTCCGCAAACAGCTGCTGAAAGTAGGTGAATCCGTAAAAGCTCTTGGTCATGCCCTTGTTGATGATGGCCTGGACGAAATCGATCGCCGACTTTTTCTGTGTTTCCGTTTTTGCGTTTTCGATGTTGGACTTTAGGCTCGGGGCACTGGTCAGATCCTTTGCAAAGAGACTAAAATGGGGACCGTAGAACTCTTGTTTCAGCGGTGCCGTCAGTTTGGAAGGGAGATTCAGAAAAATCGATTCGACAACCCGGGCTCCGACTCCGTGAACGGCAAGTTTTGGCATTTCTCCCTTGAACGACTAAAATGCAATCGGAAGGAACAAAACAAATAGTGAGCAAAATAGTTGTGATTTAGTAGAGCTGGTGTTGGCAACGAACACAGATGCGGATTCGTCTCGTCTCGTCTCGTCTCGCGCAACCTACCTTGACAATCAGCTTGACGCTGGCCTCGTCCCTGGCGCAGTACTTGATGAACTTGAGCGACACAAAGTGGGCGTACTGGATCTTGGCCATTTCCCCCAGGCTCCCCTCCGATCGACAGATTTCCTCGAGGATTTCTTTCCGCTGTGCATCGCTCCCGAACTGGATCGCCGCCTGCACCACACGGCTGGCGTCGTGCTGGAGGGCGATCTCCCTCACCTTTCCGCGGATGAGGTCCATCACCTTCTCCATGAGTTTCTGGGTGTCCTCTTTGGTGTTGGTCTTCATCCGGAGCTTGTTCCACAGGGCCTTGGCCTCCGTGACGGACTCGGCGTGGCGGCGGGTCGCCTGGCGTTCCTTTCGCACCAGCCGCTTCTGGGCGCTGCTGGAAAGCTCCCGGGCTTCCCCGCCATCGTTTTCGTTTTCGTTCTCGCTTTCGTTCCCGTGTTTGTGCTTTTTGGTGGCGAGGGAGTCTTTGTGGTTTCCCCCGGGCGACTTTCGCTTGGTGGTGCTTTCCTTTGCTGCCATGGTGGTTCGTGCGTGCTGCCCGCTCCGGAGGTTGGTTTGTTCGTTGGTTGGTTGGTTCTTTCGTTCGTCCGTGGAATTCCCGCTGTTTGGATGCTTTGTGGGTATGCCGGGATGCTCTCTCTTTCTCGGAACGAAAGAACGGAATCCGTCGGATGGGTAAAGTAGGGTACGGTAGGTATGCCGGACCCAAAATTGCTTCTATCGAACACATGTTCTTGCTCGTACATTACATCGTACGCGTACTCGTACCGCTCGTACGGTACGATACGACACCCTGCGATCCCAAAACCCGAAGTTAAGTTTTCGTTTCACGAACTCGTGCACTTGGTGCGAAGGGAAAAAAGGGTGCTTCATGCGAGCTTCGGATGTTCATTGACGATCGACGAAATGAATGGCATGGCCAATGACCGTCCGTCCTCCACCCACCAAAAAGGGTTGGGAGACATCCGCCTCGTCCCCCCCAAATAGAGACGAGAGCAATGCTGTTTCGCGCGACGATTGCCGTACAGGAACGCGCGAAAAAACAATGGAATCGGAACTGGAACGTTCGACGACGACAGAATTCTTTTCCGTTGTTTTGCGGTATGTTGTTGTTTCTAGAGCACAGAACGTACCGTACGATACGTACGCTACTCACTCGTACTCGCAAGACATCGAGACGCTCTTGACGCCATGGTGTCAGAAGCTCCGGACTCGAAAAGGAACATGCCGCAGCGCGTATCTTTCCATCCAGAATATGAACAATCCATGATAGAATAAAAGGAAAGCACGGACGTTTGTGGCTGATGCAAGTGCGGTAGCCACAAAATCAATGTCCCATTCTAGTTCCAATCATTTACTCGAGAACCAAAGCAAAGAAACAATCAATCAACCAACCAATCAGGCAAACAACACAAAAGAACAGATCACAATAGAACAGAACAGAACCATCGTCTGTACAAGAAAAGAAAGCCACCGTGATGTTTCGTCGAAGCACTCTTCCTATTCTAGCACTCGCAATTTCCGGCACGCCTCTGTGGCTAGACAGGTTGCACGCGTTTGCGTGGGCATTGGTAGTCCACGGGGGAGCACTTTCCAGGCATGCTAGCTCGCCGGTCCCAGCGGTTGCGGTTTGGCCCCCGATCGGCGGGAATGCCAACGCCAATGTCCACGCCCACCGAAAGGGTCGTTCAAGGATGTGCAACAGAAGCAGCAACAGATGCGGCAACGGCAACGCCGGCCCCCTTCATTCCTCGGTGGCATCGCCCTACAGGGACGTGGGGGGCAGCGTGGAAGACGGCAGCGAAGGCCAAAGCGAAAAGGATGCCCCCGGCGAACAGGAATCCTTGTTCCAGAGCCGGGAAAAGGACCCCGGGGCCCAGGGGGAGGCCCTCTCCGAGCTCTGCTTGCTCCTGGGGGCGGAGCGGGGGGGCCTCCTGCGCCTGGGGGCCGACAAAACCACCGGGCTCAGGGGCCTGTACCTGGGCCGCTCGGTCCGGAGCGGAGCCGCCCTGCTGGAGGTCCCCCTGTCGTCCTGCCTGAGGGACGACGCCCCGCCGTCCTGGCTTCCCGAGGCCGCGAGGAAGGACCCGCACGCCTGGGCCACCCGGCTGGCGGCCGGCCTGGCCGATCTCGCGCTGCGAAATCCCGCGGAACGAACCCAAGACGAAGAGAGAACCGAGCGCGAACGCGAGCGCGAAACCAAAGCCCCCCAAGGCGAGACCGAAAGGGCACAGAAACTGTGGTGGTCCCTGCTCCCGGACCAGGAGCACCTCGGTGCCTCCCTCCCGGTCCACTGGCTGGAGGCGACCGTCCTCAGCGCCAGGTCCACCGCCCTGGAGATCGCCGTCGACTCGGCCTTTTTTGCCCGCGCCGAGGCAGTGGACGACCTGGTAAAGGGACTGGAGCAATCCCCCTACGCGGAGCGATGGAAGGGCAGCGGCAGCGGCACGAGCAGCGGAACGAGCGCGAAAGAGCTCGCCCACCACGTCCTCGACCTGGTGCAGACCCGGTCGTGCCGGCTGGAAGAGGGGGGAGGCAGTGGGGAGGACCTCGGCCGCGCCCTGGTCCCGGTCTTTGACTTTCTCAACCACGGATCGAGAAGGGCCGGGGACGCCAATGCGTCGTTTTCGGTGGAGGAGGGAGGAAGCAACCGCGGAAAGCGCCTCGTCGTCCGCGCGACAAAAGACATTGCGGAGGGCAGCGAGGCCAGGATCGACTACGGGGCCAGCGCCCGGCCCGCGTGGAGGTGCCTCCACTCGTACGGCTTTGTGTCGGACTACAAGCGGACGGTCCCGGCCAAGGAGGGGGAGACCGGCCAACGCAACGACAGAGACAACAACAGCAACAACAACGGACGCGAACGCGACGAGGACGCGCCGGACAACCTCGCGGAGGTCTACATGAAGGGCGTGCGGTACGAGGTGACGGACGATTCCATACCGGCGGACATGGTGGCCGATGCCTCGCCGCTGGAATGGGTGGGTGTGGACGCGGACGGCCTGGCGGTCGGGGAGGCCCCCTCCCCGCCCGTCATCGTCCTGACCCCCACCATTGCCTCGAGGATCGCGGACCGCATCGCCGACGCCGCCTACTACCTGCTGCTGGAGCCGGAGCAGATCCTGGACGGCGACGAAGGTTCGTCGATACCGCCGACGCCCTTTGAGGTAATCTCGCACCAGCTCGCGGCGAGGCTGCGGTGGACCCAGCACCGGATACTCCTGAGCTGCGCCGCCGGCCTGACGCAGTTTGCCAAGGAGGAGGAATCCAGGTTTCGGTAGCCAGCCGCGTGTTGCGGGCCGGTTCGATTTTACTTTATTGGATTGGTTTCGATTCGATTCGATTGGATTCGATTCGATTCGATCCCCCCGTTCGCGCTAGGAAAAACACACACGCGAATGCTCCTACACGCAATCCATTTGATACTTAAAAAAAACACAAAAAGAGAAAAACTAGTAGCAGTAGTTCATTTTGATTGGCATTACGTTGCTGCCTGCCGGCAGCCCGCAAGAGCCGGTAGAGCACCGTGTTCCGCAAACGACATGCCGTACCAGAGCACCGCTGCGCTGCGCTGCCTAGCCTAGCCTTGCCTAGCGGCCTCGCTCAAAAGTACTTGGTTCCAAAGACGTCCCGGTCGTGCTGCTTCTTGCGGGCGTTTCTCGTGGTGATTTCCACCGACTCGGCGTCGTCCAGGATGTTCGGCCGGTCCAGCCGGTTGGCGTAGGGTGGCTCCAGGACGGCCTTTTGCGCGGGCGTCAGGCCCTCGTACATGGCGGAGGGCCAGCCCCCTCCCTCGTGGCCAAAGTAGCTCCTCCCGTAGACGTTCGTGGCCGGGGAAAACCGAAAGAGGGCCGTCCGGCGCTGCTCGTCGCTGGTCCAGGGCTGTCGACAATGGGCAAGGATTCGGCATACGCCATCGTACAAGAACAAGGAAGCAAGCAAAAGGAGAATGAGCAGCTGGTATCGTCGGAAAGTAGTACAGTACATTGTTTTTTGGAAATCGCAAACGGCAAACTCCCGAGAACAAAAGCCCGAACGGCATTTTGTGTCGTGCAGTTCGATGCGGGACTTCATTTCAAAACATCCTTTTTGAGGAAAAAGGGCCGGGCCCTGTGCCATCCAGCGCAGCCCAACGAAACGAAATGAAACCTACCTTGGCTCCGTGCACCGTTCCCTCGCTAAAGAGAATGACGTCCCCGGCCTTGGTGGCCGGCTGGACGACGAATTCCTCGTATCGTTCTCCGTCCACCATGCCCTTCGGCATCCGAAAGTTGGACTTGTGCGATCCCGGCACGATGCAAAAGCCACCGTCGCCGGGGTTGTGGTCCCTTAGGATGACGTTGCAGCCCAGCAGGGCCGTCGTGATGGCCCCGTTCGAGCAGTGGTAGGCGAGGAAGGGGTTGTAGGCCCCCGAGTTGCAGTCGATGGTCCCCCCGTGGAGCTGGAAGCCCTCCGATCCCTTGTTCTGCGCCAGCACCATGGGCAGGTGGTCCATCCGGTACCCCTTGCCGAGGATCCCGTGGAAGACCGGGACCAGGCGGGGGTGCGCCAGGATCGAGCGAAAGACCCTCGAGTCGGTTTCCCCCCACTCCAAGCAGCGTCCCAGGTCCATCCGGCCCGGCCCCTGCCCGGAGTACTTTGTTCCCCGTTTGGCGTTCCGGAGGTCCGCATCGGACCGCTCGATCATCTCGTCGGCATGGCGATCGATGGCGGCGTTGGCCTCGTCTACCTCCTCCGGCGTGAGGACCCCCCGGACGATCAGGTACCCGTTCAGGTCGAAGAGATACTTTTCGTCGTCGGACATCTCGATGGGGTACTCGCGTTTCGTCTCGGGGGCTTCGGTTGTGGTTGCGTTGCCGGTCTCCATGGCGAGCGTGGATCGGAGGCGCGTGGCGGTGGCAGTAGCAAGCGGGGGGCTCGTTGCAGTTGCTTTCGGTGTCTCGAGCAAGGCGCTGGCGCTTGCGGAGGCGGCTCTGCGGCTGTTCGAAACGGACCCGGTGGCGAAGGCTCGTGCGGCGGGAATGCGGAGCTGGCGGCCCGCGAACAAGACCATCCAAACGAGCACGGAGATTCTGCGAGAGAAAGAGACAGCGGCGGCGTTCCGTGCGGAAGGGTGCGGCATTCAGGGCTTGCGTCTCGTTCGTTTCGGGCCGTGGGTGGTGTGTTTCGCGTGTGGTGCTGGGAGGTCGTAGTCTTGCCCCGGTCTTTGGTCGGTGCGTATCTGTAGATGTAAACGACGATGGGCGCTTCACTCCACGAGTGGCTTGTCTCGTCGATCTTCGATCCAATACTAGGTGTGTTCCATATCGACGCATCGCTGGTCAGAAAGAGGCCGGCATGTCATCTTCGGTTCTTCGTTCTCGTCTCAACCTTTCGTGCCCTACGTACTTTGCGTAGAGTGCAGTACAGTAAAGTAAAGTACGGTATTTTTTGTGATACACAAGAAAGAAAACGGGGTTTTGTTTTCCGACGATGATGATGGACGATCGACGTCATCTCCCTCATTTTTGTTTTGAGTCGTGGATAAAAATCCACCAAATTCTTCGAAGCTCTTCTAGTCCCTCCTCCGCTCCATCCAAACCCCTCCGTTGCTCTGGATTTTCTTGGGGCCTGGACGGGAAAGTGAGTTACAGTAGATACAGTAGGGGGTGCGTTTGTGCCGTACGTATCGCGCAGTAAGCGATGTACTGGACGCTCCGTAGGACCAAGAGTGCGCGGGAGGGCAGGGGGAATGATACCGATGTGCGGTATTTTTGAGACAACGACTAAAAAAAAAGGAAGGTCAACACTATTTCCCAAATTTCCATAATATCACAACCACAACTGCGAACACTATTGCAAAAGAAAAAATACAAATACGACCACAAACTCGAGCTGAACCGTACCGGACTCGGAAACAAGGAACAAGACCAAAGAAAAGCACGCAAAGAGACGGACACAGAGACAGACGAACGACAGCTACTGTTACACCATGCCGGCAGCAACCAACAGCGGCGGAGGAGGAGGCGAGCAGTGGGCCTGGCTGGGCCTCCTGAAATGGACGCTGGCCCACACCGATGGCACGCGGCCATCCAGCGAGAGCCCGACCATGATGTCGGACGAGGACAAGGCCTTTCTGGAAAAAGTCATGGCGGAGGGTATCATCGACGAGTCCGAGCGGATGAAGTTTGTCCTGCAGGAGTTTTCGAAGGCCATGGAGTACTACAAGAGCCAGAGCCAGAGCGATGGACAGGAAGCACCAACAACATCGACAACGACGGAAGAAAAAGAGCAAGAGCCACCGCTACAGCCCCCGGCGCCGCCGAACGAGGACGATCTCGAGGAGCTGCTGCAGGAACTCCGGGACATTGTGGAACAGGTCGACTACGCGAGGGGATTCGTGAACCTGAAGGGGTGCCGGTACCTGCTGGGGGCGATCGCTGCCCCAGAGGTTCCGACAACGATCCGGGACGCCTGCCTGGGGATCCTATCGACGCTGGCGCAGAACAATCCGCCGGTCCAGAAGGAGCTGGTGGAGCTCGGATCGATCAAGGTCCTGAGCGACCTTTTTCTGTCCGAAACACAAACCGACGCAGACGCGGACACCGCAACAGAATCGGGCACGAGAGCGGTCCCGCTATCCACCAAGACCAGGACCATGCAGGCGCTGAGCGCAATTGTTCGGTGCTACGACCTGACGGAGGGCGTCTTCGAGGGCCTCCCGCAGGCCCCGGCGATGATGGTGCAGGGGCTAAGCACCGATCCGAACGTTTCCAGCACCTCCCTCCGGACCAAGACACTCTTTTTCCTGCGGGCCTTTCTGACCTCCGACCTGTCGACCCCGGCCCGTGCCCAGGCCTTTCGGTACGCAATCGCAGCGGTGGCCGACACGGACTCGCTGTACCTGAAGGCTTCCGACGAAAGCGGCAACGACTGGGCGTCGATCCAGCTCCGGGAGTCGGCCGTCTCGCTGCTCGGGCAGCTGCTGGAGCGGAGGCTCGCGGTCGGCCTCCTCCTGCAGCGCAAGCAGCACCTGGCCTCCAGGGGGGTCCAGCGGATACGGGAGCTCCGGGCCTGCACCGGGGAAGACGCGGAGGCCACCCGAACGGAGCTGCAGCAGTGGGAGGCCTTTTTGCTCCTGCTGGCGCGGACGGAACCGGAAGCACCAGAGGAAGGGGCTTCGGAAGCCCCGAAGCTGCTGCTCTAGGTCGGTGCGAAGCATCAAAAACAAATAGTTTTATAACACCCTAGTCTACGATACAATATACAGTCCAAATTTTTCTAGTCTTTTACGATTGCAAATGTTAGTATCGGAAAACCAAGACCTTTTTGGGAATGCATGCCCGTGTGCTTGGGTCGCAGTCGTCCCGTACAGAATGGATTGGCATTAGAGTCCACAAATAATGCGATCTTCCCCCCTTACAGTCCAAAGAAAACGTCCTCTCTCTGGTTTCCGAGGAGGCACTTGAGCAGGGGGTACTTGTCTGAGGGATCGGCGGACTGGAGGTCCCAATCCAGGCTGGCCACCAGGGCCCGATGGGCATCGGAAAAAGCTCTCTGGACCTGGTTTATCCGAAAGGCATTCCTTCCAACGTTGTTGGTTGCGGACAAGGGATCTTCCACAAATAGCGGGTCGAACGTGGAGGGGCGTTCAAAGCCCGAGAAGTTGTGGGCGTGGGTGTGGCTGTGGCCGTTGGTCTGGTTGGTAGTTGTTTCGCTGCTGCCATTCCCATTGCGGTGACAATTCGCCTTGCTGTTGCGGGAGACGAATCGGTGGCTGCTCTTGGATCCCGAAGTGACCTGCCCGCTGGGGGGTGAGGGGCAATGATAGACCCGATTCATGCGATGGCTGTCGTCCACGCTGCCCGCGTCGCTGAAGCTGTTGCGGCGGCGAAAGTCGGCGGCTTTGTGATTGGTAGCGGTGGTGGTGGAGGTGCTGATGTTGCCGCTGCTACTAGTATGGAGGATTTGTGGCAGGTTATTGATGACAACGTGCTGCTGGTGCGGGGGACGGTTGCCCTTCCAAAACGGCTGGCTCGTCGGTTCGTATCCGGCCGCAGCAGTATGGCTCTTGGCCCTTGCAAAGTATTGCCGGCCGCCCACGCTGATGCCCATCGCTCTGGGGTCGAAATGGTTCCCGTAAAAGTCCAAAAACCCCATCAAGAGAGAACCGTAGTCGCTGTTGGACAGCGGCTGTTCCTGCAGATAACGCGCTAGCATGAGAAACAGGCAGTAGGAAGAGAGACCCCCCGTGTACGCGGTCAACAAACCGCGGTGCGAAAGCAATTGTTTCAGAACGAGCATGAGGGGACGAAGCAAGGGTAGCTCTTCCAGAGTCTGGGATACCATTCGGTTGGCTTCCAATCCGTGGTGCTCGGGACCATCAAAGCTGATGTCCAGCTTGATCATCCTTGCCCGCGTGTCCTTGGTCGAAACCTTTATGACCGGTATTGCGGTGCGCTCGATCACTTTGATCGATCTCGGATCGATCCAGGATTCTCCCTTGAGCTCGCGTGCCAGCAACTTTTGCGATGTTTCGTTGATGGCGTTTCGGCCTTCCAGCACACCCGGGGCAAGCGCTAAGTCCTTTTTGTGCACCGCTGGCAAACAGACGACAAAATCTAGGTCGCTCGAGGGAAGACATAATCCAGAGATGTAGCTCCCATAAAGTTTCACCTGCGCACGTGGCCATATGGTGTTCACTAGGCGCGAAAATCCTGGAGAGAGAAAAAAACGCATTCGCCAGGGCAAGTTTAGCGGAGTAAAAGTGGGTAACATCGGTGCAAATATACCTCTTGTAAACAAATTGAAACATAGCTCCACAGTCCTTCGATTTACTCACGTTCTACTGCAAGCTTCCGTCTCCCATCAAGTTTTCTCATCTTAAGATTGGTCACATGAACGAATTGCAAAATGTCCTTTGTTACTCTGGACTGGAAACCATTGAAGTGAGAATGCATCGTTCCAGGCACTAGCAGCCCTCCCGAAAGAGGTACTTTGATACTAGTGAAATCCATTGATGCGTCAGACTCCGCTACGGTCTGGCTTGACGCTATTCGTTGCGCAGGATCTAATCGAACGTCTCGTGGTTTTGAAACAGAGTCGTGAATATCGTCTTCACTTATGATAGACTCGTAATCACCGGAACGATGAAATCCAAATCCAGCGTCACTCATTGGACCCGGAAGCGCACCCTTTATCGTTCCACGAAAAGAGTGCTGTATACCATGAGGGTCGAAAGAGCTGTGCCCGTACATTTTGGGATAAGCCAATGACGAGTCTTGAAAGTCTACTGGAGTTGCTGCAACAGTCTGTTGTGTAGCTAACATAACTTTCAGCTTTGCTACTTCTGCTCCAAGAGTCAAGTACATGTCTCGAAAATAATTCCGTTCCTCTTGAACATCAGCAAGTTCCTCAGCTTCACCTCGATGCGAAATTCCCGATATGATGGTGGTCGTCTCGTCTCTTACCAGGGATTGGTTTTCGCCCTCCTCGCGATACCAATCGTGGTGTTCTCCATGGTGTATATCCATTGCTGTCTCACTTTGGGCGCAATATTCCTTGTGGTGATCTTGCTTCCGTCTAGACGAAGCACTTAGATGCATTCCATGATCGAGACTTTCAGTATCACCGCCCGACCGAGGAATGGGCTGTGCAAGGGTCTTCTTGAACGCAATCGATTTGTAAGTCGGTGCTTCTGATTCCTGATGGGTCTGGATACGATCCCGCCAAGAATTTTTAATATTATGATCATCTCGAAAAGATTCGATTCGTAGGTCTTCTCTAGACCAACTGCTCACCAATTTATCTTTTGCATCAGGCGATGCGGGGGGCAGACTACCTGGTCCAGACCCTGGTTTCATGGTTTCGAAATCGAGAGAAGGGAATCGCTTCAGTGATGATGATGAATACTTCATCTTCTTTAGATCTCCCAGGGTAACGAATATTGGCGACAACGTCGGCGGAGGAGTGACAGGAGCTTGGAGAGTCTGGGAACGACAATCTGAGATGACGTCAGACGAGTCATTGGCATGATCAGATCTCGCCATTTCTTGCGTTGTCTTCTTGTTGAACTCCTCTTCCTCGATCTTTAAATTTCTGACGTCCAAATCTGAATTTTCACTACTACTGATAGATGATGCGCGGCTTCGATTTCGGCCTACTTCAATCACATGGTCGATTTCTTTCATAGCAGTAGAACTCTTTGAAGACCCATCATCGATTTCTCGAATAGCACTCATTTCTTTGGGTACAGGAATTTGCTCTTCGATCACATCAATTGGGATATCTTCTTCTCTTTCTGCAACATATGTCGTATCCTTGTAGGAAGACGACGCGATGGACGCGGCTGTTGACGCCGCCATCAGTCGTTCTTCGTCATCGAAATCTTTACCATTCACTTGTTCACTCTGGGAAAGGAAAAAGCTACTCAAAATACTACGCTCTGTTGATTGGTAATGGTTTACGAACGGTAAATTGTTTGTCTCCGCTCCACCAAAACCTAGGACGTAATCAGAGTCCCTCGTAAATGGTAAGCTGTAGATATCGGACGAAAAGCTGTCGGTTTGTCTACTGTAGAGAGAGAAGGCATTGCCATCACTATGAGTCAGGAAGTCTTGATCCATACCTCGGCTCCTTTGCCTTTCGAATACAACTCGAGAAAGGCAATTTTCTGACATTTGATTGCCCGTGGGAAGTTCCGACTCTGTACCATCAATGCAGGTTTTTCTTTTCAGATCAATAACTTCCTCAGGTGGCTGTATGTATGTCGTATGTAGCTGTGAATTGATATCTCCTCCAACTATAGTATGTTCTCGTTTTGGCTCTTCGGGCTCAGATGTAACTTGCAAGCCAACTTTAGCGAAGGCGTTTTCTGTAAGCTCTTCTAGAATACCAAGGACGAAAATAATGTTCCTATTCCGTTCACGAGCTGTTGTCAAGTTTTTGGGAAAGTCGATGACGCTCTTAGAGACAATTATTGTTGTCTTTTGGTCATCTCCTGATGACGAAGAATCACTCATACGGTCGACACGATCACCATTTATGTCTCTCCCAAATGGAACAGTCGGGGTTATGGTGTTACTTTTGATCGCAGAGAGCATTCTAGTTTTTGGGGCTTTCTTTCGCCTTTTCTTTTTCTTCTTATTAGTCCTGGCTCGATTCGTCTGATTAGATCTGGTATCTATGACATGGGGTTTACGCAAATTCTGAATTTCAAGTTCATCTTCTTCAAAGATTGTCCGTTCAATGTGTGCCGCCAATTCTTCTTCCAGTTTCTCGTGGACCAGACATTTGAAACGCCTGTTGAATAGACTGTGGATTTCAACCAGTGGAGTTTGGGACCATTCTTGAGCCGCCAATTTCCAATATCCTTTTGTGTTTGGGTCTGGAATCTGCGTAGGCGTCGCAATTTGGGATAGAATTTGACCACGTAATGTGGGGTTGCCATTCAGTATCGACCAAAGGGTTACATCTCGAAGAAAGTCCAAATGTTGGCTTTCTTGTTCTTCTTGAATGATTTCTTTGAGACTCAAACGAATAGCCCGTAACAAAGCATCTTTGAGCACTGCTTCTCCGAAATCATTAGAAGCACTTCCTTTGGTTCCAATACGACCAGGGTGTACTGTATGTTTCTGTTGTTGCTGGTTACAATTATATTTTTGATAGGAATCCCAAAGGGCTACTTGATAGCGACTTGCAAGATACATACCAAGCGAGAACCATCGCTCAGTAGGTTGAAGCCAAGGAGCACAGAACGAGATTTCCGCTTCAAACGATGACAAAGACGTTTTTGAGTACAAAGTCGTTGGATGTTGATGGAAAAGTTGCCCTCGGGATGCTATCTTCAGCATTTTAAGAATTGACGCAGCTGTAGGACCACTTGTGAACGCGTCATTGCGTCTATTTTTGGAACCTTTGCCAACTGCTGTGGCAACATCTCCTTCTCGATTCGAGTTTTCACGTTCTCTAGAACAAACAAAGCATCCGGTTGCAAGGTATCTGCCGTCGATTCGATGTCGCCCCAATCGCGTCCCCTGTATGAGTTCAAAATCGGCATTGATCTGTTCTTGTGTACAACCCAAACTGTAAATGTCACCCCATGGTGCAATTTTTTTTCGTGCGAAGACATTGAAACGACGCGAATCGATAGTAGTACCTCCATTAGATGAATTATATCTTTGACCATTGCGATTCCGCAAGCGACCAGCATTCAATCGACCATTATTTGAATTGTTTAGGAACGAGGACTGATTTTCCTTTTCAGACAGTTGAAAAAGCCTTGGTTTTGTCCATCGCAAATACTCCTCTTCCTTGTAGAAATGATCAAGCTTTGCTCCCTTTTGGCTTCTAGATTTGTATCCTGTCGCTCGTGGATGTACTGGTGTTGGGGGTGGAGGTTGAAGTCGAACCATTGACAGTAAGAGTTCGTATTCGTGACTATCCATTTCTATTGAATTAGATCCACCGAAAGAAATACCTGATTTTGGAGTCCTTGTGCCTTTCGAACGGTTCGTATTCTGCTTGAAAGTGAAGGCCATCGCATCCAAGAGTTCTTCTCGATTAAGAGAAGTCACCCAACTCTTGAAGCTGGCGAAGCTTTCATTTTTCATCTTTGACTCCATTTAGAAACCATTCCTGCAAAAAGGGGGACCCTAGAGATAGATGTGTAAGCCGTTGCGCCCCGACTGAACTTCAGAGCCCTGTTCTCCTCTTATCATATTAAATTTAACACTATTCTTCGCTCTGAGAAATCTTGTCGACAACTTATTAATGATATTATGACATTACTGAGACTGCACCGACTGCACATCGCATTCAATAATTTGACAAAATCTTTTGCTCGTGTTGACACGATAGAATGTTGCATTCTCCCAAGACATTTTGAACGCTGAAGGAGGGAGCATAAAATTCGAGCGGTTATTAACCGTTTGGTGAACACGTTTGGTAATGGTAACATTACACAATGGGAATCGAATCCGTGACCTGCTTTTGATTTGAAATCGCGAAGTGTGCGTTTTCCGTTTTCCCCCAAGGGATCGTGCGAGTCTTTCCAACTCGGGACTGAATCGAAAATAGTACGGTAGATGATCTCCACCATTAATTTTCGAACAAAAATGCGAAACTACTACTATGCCACCGATTACCGGTAACGGTACGTACCGGTACCTACCGTTGTTTCATGTACGTACTGTTGTGAGACACGACAAGAAAGCTTTTCTCGGAAAAAATCATATCTCGTCTTCCAAATAGTGCTGAGGTCCAATTAGTGTCGGGTCACCTTTGTGTCAAATACTGTGCTTGAAGCAATCTACTAAAGTTTCACGAGGCGATCCACAAATACCCGAATTTAACCTTGAATCATGACGAGCAGGTTCGAAAATGTTCGACTGCGCAAAAGTACGAAAAAGGGAAAGAAAACCAAGAAAAAGGCGCCCGAATCCTCCATCGATGATTTGCTGAAAGCGGCGTCCGCTGCTATGGAATCCTTAGACGTCGAGCGTGCGTACGAAACATACAGCCATGCAGCGACTCGGTTGCAGGGCGCCGACAATGAAAAACACGGAGTAGAAGATCTGATCCACGTTTTGGAAAAGATGGGAGAGCTGCAGGTATCCATGGGCGATCAAGATCTCGCAAAAGACCATTTTGTTCGATGCCTCGGGCTGTTAGAGGAAAGGGGGAAGAAAGACTCAGCAAAGGACATGAGCTACTATGAAACACGTTCCAATCTTTGCTTTTATATCGGCCAATTGTCTCTTGAAAAAGAAGCACTCGATGCGTATCAGAACGGAATTACTAGCTTGGAAAAATGCATGCAGCTTGTGGCAGATGGCCAAGAGATCGTCGCCATGCAAGACGAATCGGATGAAACCACCAACCACAACGAGGAAGCCATCCTGAAACAGAAATTGTCKGGCGCCTACTGCAACATTGCCGAACTGTATCTCACCGACTTATGCGAAGAAGAAACAGCCGAAAGCGATTGCGAACAGTATCTCGAGAAAGCCCTCCAACTCAAAGACAGCGACGGAGAGCCCCTGGTCGATGCCTTGCAAACCATGGCCAGCCTGCGTTTGTCCCAGCAGGAGAGGCAATCGGAGGCAATACCGTTTGTTCTTCGGGCGTATGAAAAACAAAGAGTGGGATCCGAAGCTCTTGCGACCCTGGTGGGACTCGGAGAGAAGACGACCGACGACGATGCCGCGAGCAAGGGGCAAGCACAGGAGCTCCTAGAAGTCGAAGCCGCAAACAACTTGCCCGAATTCGAGTTCCGCTGCCAGACCGCAAAGCTGCTCCTGGAATGTGCGGGGCTGGATCGGGAAGAAAGCGGGGGTACCGACCAAGCAAACGAATGCATTGCCGCTGCAATTTCGGTGCTGGGAAGTCTTTTGGCCCAAAACGACGAGGTGATAGAGATTTGGTATCTCACGGGGTGTGCCTTTGCCGCAAAGCAACCACCGTTGGTCGATGCCGCGAAATTTTATCTGGAGCGAGCAAAAGAAATGCTGACGGACATCCAAAAGGCTCTGAAAGACGAGCTGCAATACGCAGACGATTCCGAAAAACAGGAGTTACAGGAGCAACTGGAAATGAATGCGACGCAAATGAGCGATGTTCAATCGAAACTGGGCGCGTTACCAGATGCAGTAGAAGACATGGAAGAGGGTTAAAGAATACAATAAAATAAAGAAAATCCTCCTTGCCACCCAAAAAGTCGGCATCGGCTCTACGATTGTATACGAAAGCATTGTCACAGTTCTGTGCGAGTGTGAGACATTTTTTAATAGGATTGGGAGAATTGCTTGTGCTACAGCAATCACAGAAGGATTATTTGTGACCGTCGGAAAACGGTAAAGAACTGATAGAAGACTGTTTTGGATTAAAAACACTTCGTTATTTCTTTTATTTAATAGGGTCCGCTCGAGACGGCCGCTCAAAAGTAGGCATCGATGGATGCCACTTCCTTGGCGCGGCGAATCTTCAGGGCATACTTGTTTGGAATGAAATCTTCGTTGATCTCCTCGGTGGAACCATCCTTCATGACAATCACGTACTTGTTTGGTGGAATGCCATAAATGTTGCCGCCATCGGGGTTGTGGTAGGTAACGGGGATCGCACCAAAGAGTTTGAAGGAAACAATGTATTGTCCGTCCTCGTCCATCATCGAGTCCCCGTGGCTGTCGTCGTCGTGGAACAACCAGGAGGGGATCGCGGGCTTCAGCTGGAATTCCACGTCGCCCTCCTCGTTGAGGTAGAACATGGTCGGTCCGTAGAACATGAGCTGGTATATGTCCATGAATTCGGCGGTAGAACCCGATAATCGAGCCAAGAACCCCATCCCATGGATGCTTGGATCGGGAAAGACGGACGAGGCAATGAACGACGAGCATTCGGTGAGGGGACGGCCGTAAACGTCGGGATCCATGAACGGAAGGATGCCTCCTCCCTTGTATTCGTCAAAGAACTGGTCGTAAAGCTTTCCACGAAGAAGCTGTAAGTAGTACTTGTAGGACATGTGCATCCAGATCGATTGGTTCTCCAACCAACCCGGAGCGAAGGCAATCTGACGACCCATGTCGTAAGACTGCCCGGTGAGACTGGCAGACAAAAAGTACATGCCCAGCTTCTGGTCACGCAATCCAGAAGTCAGCACGCGCTCGTACGTGTCCGTCATTTTCTTCTTGTCGTCTTGGATCGTCTTCATGTAACGGACGGGCCCCTCCAAAAACATGGGGAAGACACCAACCTTCATTGCCTTTGCGTCGACGAGGGGAAGCCCGACCTCGTTGTGCTCTCCGGTCAGCTCCCACTCGGTAACATCGTACGAGAAGAAGCAGGCAGGGACCCCGGAAGTTCCGTCGTCGCCGAATCCCTTGGTTCCAAAGTCGTGGGAGCGCTCGATTCCGAGTTCGATCTCCTCGATCCAGCGCTTCAGCATCTTCGAGACCTCCTTTCCGGTGTAGGTCGTCGTGCTTCCAGAAAAGTAGTATTCGACGGCCTCGCGGTACTCTTCGCGTGCGGTAGCAACGGTGTCCCAGTATTCAAACAGAGGTTCGGGAACGTCGTGGGGGAGGGGGAAGGTGTCCTTGTACGAAGCGCCTTCCAGTTTGTCGAGGGCAGCTTCGACGGTAGTGATCATGGTTCCGAGCTCGGAGGGGACTTCCACGTCGCGGTCGTAGGCGTCCACGACCTTCTTCACGTATTTCAAGAGCAGGAGCAGCTCGTAGGTCTCTGGCATGCCACTGCCAACCATGCCCGGAAGACCATTCATGCTGTCCAACCAACCGGGGCGGCCACCTTCGTATTCCACACCCATGCCCCATGCATCTCGCATGGCAAACTTGAGGGAACCGAGGAGGAAGAGCTTGGCAATGGGGGTGCTCTTGAAGGTGACTCCGTCCTCGGTTCTCTGCCACGAGGCCTCGATGCCCAAGAGACCAGTCTTGCTGCTTCGGAAATCCTCCTGCTCTTGCGCCTTGTCCATGTCATAGTAGGTCGCCTCGAGCTGGAGAACATGCTGCTGCGTTCCGTCAAAGGTGTAGTCGAGGACGTACTTGTCGGCGCGCGGACGAACCGTGGCGGTAGAAAAGAAGTATCGGAGCTCGTTGTCGTACATCAACTCTTCTTCGCCATCGGGGTAGATGGCCAGGTATGCCTCCACTAGATCGATGTAGTAGTCCCAGTGGTCGGCCCAGTAGCCCTGGCCGAAGAGAGCCATGGCGTGGTCCTCGGACGCCGCCATGATCGTGTTGAGAAAGAGCTTGTCGTCGTCGATGCGGTTGATGTTGAGCTGATCGGCGAGCTGGAAAAGCTGGCCGGGGCGGAACTGGCCTCCCTTCAGGATTTCTCCGAGGACCTTGGCGCTCTTGGCATCCACGGTGACCTCCCTGGCAATCTCGTCCGCCTTTTCGTGGTCGCTAAAGACGTAGACCTGGGCCTCGACGGTCAGTGGTTCGTACCCGTCGGCCTGGATGAAGGAAAGGAATTGCTTCACGTCAAAGCCACCCATGCGAGGGAAAAAGGTCACGTCGTTGCGCCTGTTCTGGGCAATGTCACGGTAGTTGCCGGGTCCCTGGGAATAATAGGCGGGTTCGATGGAAAACCAGTTGTAGTCGCGCTCCAGGTCACCGTGGATGCGAGAAAAGGAGTGGTAGACCTTCACGCCGGGGTCTTCGTCGTAGTTGGTGTCGTCGTCGACGTTCCCCAGGATGGTGGGGATTCCTCCACGCAGGGAGTTGTCCAGGAACATCTGGCGGACGGTGGTGTCGAAGAGAGGATTGGTGGTGTTCGTTTCGACTCCCACGGTCATCTCGTTGATCATTTCGCGGGCGCGGGCAAATTTCTTCGCGATGAAACCGGGTGCGGTTACAATCTCGGCAATTTCGGGGACCTCGTCGATGTGGTCGGCACGGCCGTACACGGACGCGATCGTAATGTCTTCGCCGGGTTTGAGCGTTACGGAACGAACCGCGGCGAACGAGGAGGAGGTCTTGGACTCGCCGCTGCAATGCAAACAAGTTCGAGCAAAAGAGGCTGTGAGCGCGACCACCGGGAACCAAAAAATTAAAATCAAACACACCGACACCACACCGACACTTACTATTGCTTGTTGTCCAAGATTTTGCCCACCGAGCTGGCCTCGAGGCCGCGGGGGTATTCCATGCTCGTGGATTTCCCAAAGACCTTGTCCTTGTCAAAGACAATGGGCAACAATTCGGCGGTTTCGTCTTCGGACTCGATGAAGGAGAGGCAGTAATTTCCCTTCTCTTCGATCGTGACCTTGGCGGTGTCCCCGGGCTCCATCGACAATTTGTAAAAGGGCATGTTGAGTGTGTCGTCGGCGTGGTAGACACCGAACCAACCCTCGAGGGTGCGTCCCATGCTCTTGAGCATGCCGTCGAGTTTTCCACCGCTGGGCTCCATCTTGGCCAGGCCGTCCAGGACCTCCAGCTCGAGATCGGTGGTTCCGGTGTTGGTAAAGGTGGTCCGGCGCACCAGGGCGGGGAAGTTTTCCTCCGGCAGGACGTAGTACTTGACGCCGGTGTTGAGGCCGTTGACGCCGTCGATTTCCTCGATTTCGACCTCGTTCGTGCCGACGTACAGGACGCGCTTCGGCTTGTCGGGGTCGTCCCCGGGGTCGTCGAGGTTTCGGGACCGGGCGGGGGAGAAGGGCTCCACCTGGAAGGAGTTTCCGAGGACCGAGGCGCCCTTCCGGGTGCCGCGCACAAAGGTGCGGAAGCCAATGTAGGAGGTGACCTGGTAGGCCTTGTTGGCGGCGTTGAATTCGAGGAGGGGGTAGTCCTTGGACTCGATGCCAAAGGTCGAAACGATCTGGCCGCGATTGACGTAAAAGGCCCAGACGGGTTTTCCCAGGTATCCGCCGACACCGGGAAGGAACGAGGCAAAGTTCGACTTGGCGTCGTAGTCCTCCATGACGAAACGCTCTGGGGAGCAGGCAGTTCGGTGGAAGAGAGGGGGGAGAAAAGTCAAGTGGTCAGCATTGTTTGGATACAGCATTTGGATACAGCATTTGGATACAGCATTGTTTGGATACAGCATTGGATACAGCAAACCGAGAGGGATGGTTCGTCGGTGTGAGCAACGTTTCGGTCGTTGCAAAACGATGCATCGCGACGAGCCCCTTTCTGCTTCTCTCTCCCCGAGCCCAAGACAATCGTCACAACACCGCAACGCCAAGCAAAGCAAAGAACAATACGATGCGATACGATACTCACTCAGTTTGTCAAAGAGCATGACGGTTCCGTCCTCGTTGATGGTAAGGCCGGATTTCTTCATGGCAATCTGGGTGGATTTTCCGGCGGGTTTGTAGAGGGACTTGCCGCAGAAAACGGCGAGAACCGCAACGACGACCCCCGCAAGAATCCATTTGCTCTTCTTTTTGCTGTCCGGGCGGGCGGTTTCGCTGCCGCCGATGGGCATGTACCCGTCCTTGGTTGTATCGTGCTGATAGCTGGTCATCGCTGTTGTGCGCAGATTGAAAGAAAACGAAACGAAAGAAAAAAGGTCTGTGGTCGACGTCGATCAATCCTTGGAGAAATTCACGGCGACGAGATCTTTGCGAAACCCTGGTTTTGGTGCAATGACGATGGAGTGAAACCGTGTGTGGTGCTTGTTTTGTTCGGAGTTTGGAGCCGTGTCTGGGATGGGTGCCAGAGATTCCAGAACGTTCGAAATGGGAAGTGAATGGTCGACGAGCAAGGCAACGATGATTTTTGATTCCTGGCAGTGATGCACACTTTTTTCACCTTGTTCACTTGTTGCAAGAGGAAACCAAAAACCGAAAATGCGTGATCCGGCAGATGTTGGATCTTCACAGGGGACACACATCACGCCCTACATCTCTCAAAAACTTCGCCTTTTTTTTGGTAAAGAATGGTTTCGGTCCGTCCGGTGCGTACTACGTAGTCGTACGCAATTTGAAGTACCAGGTAGTGACCTTCGGCTGCGTTCTTTGAACTCTCTCTGTTCTAGGAGGTACGAGGAATGCATTCTTCGCAATATGTCCGTTGAACGTATGAAGGACAGACGATGGACTTCTCCAGTGAATCTCAGGAATCTAGCCAATGAGAATAATTTCCCGTGAGATTCAATTCATGCGAGGGAAATTCCACGAGACATCAGCCAATCAACACATAATGACGATGACTAACGTTTTTAAAGACTGTTCGCACAACAAGCTCTTAAGAAGAAGCAGAATTGAATTTGATTGTGCTGGAAGTTAGAGACCGTAGTTCCTACGGTACCGTACAAGTCTTTCCTCTTTCTTCCCCAACCTTGCGGAAGGGTCGGAGTATCCCCACCCCGGAATCGTACGAACTCATGCGCTGTCTTGTCTCTCGTCCCCACATTGTTTTTGTAGATGGAGTCATATGTATAGTATCTTATATAAGTATGACGACGTGCCTCGGATCTACTCATAGTATGTTCCGATACTACGATATAATGGTACGATGTACGATACCGCATTCTGTCCTTCGCAGATCCCGATTCCGCCGATCCAAAAAATCCCCCGAATCACTGTCATGTGCCAATTTAGGACAGTACTGTAGCTAATTTCAGTACGTACCTAATTTACGTACTGTAACATGCCCTACGGCAGCATTCTCAACCCGTACGTACGGCACGGTAGCAACTGCTGTAGCAACATACCGTATTCCGGTTCGTTGGCATCTCCGGGAGTCCACCGCCTCGACTCTCGACGTGCCTGTTCTCCAACCACCATAGACAGAGTGAACACATGATCGTTCCGTTGTCTGTCTTCATTTGTTGTCTCTAGCCACTCGATCACGTCCCCAAACCGCATCCGTTGCAGACCAATCGGAAGTGGGCTTTTGACTCGTCGAACGAAGGAAAGAGATCGAAGAAAGCGCGGCACGTCCGGTACGCAAAGGAATACCTACCTACCTACCGTACAGCAGGCCCAGTGGTTTCGCAAGGCACCAAACATGAGCGGATCCGGAGGAAAGGGCGGAAAATCGCTGGCGCTCATGCAGCGGCGGCTCAAGGGGGGCACCGAACAGCAGCCGCAAGGCCAGGCGCCGGCGGCTCAGCAACCGCAGCAGCAACAGCAACAAGCGCAGCAGCAACCCGTGGCCGAGAACCCGCAGCAGCAACAACAGCAGCCGGGCCAGGCGCCGCCACAGGTGCAGCAACAACAGCAGCCGGCACCCCAGGCTTCTTCCCCGGCCCAGCCGGCTCCCGGACGGCCCAAGGGAAAAGACTTTAGCGCAATGTCCAACCGGCCCAAGGGCAAAGACTTTAGTGCCATGTCCAACCGGGCCCCCCAGGCACAGCAGCAACAACAACAACAGCAGGCACCGGCACCACAGCCGGCGCAAGCGGCCCCGGCCAAGAAGGGAAAGGACTTTTCCGCCATGACGCACCGGCTGGGCGGTCCGCCGGACGGGGGTTCCGACCAGGCCGCCCGCGACGTGGCCCGGCGCCAGCAGCTCCAGGCCAAGGCCCGGCAGCACGCCGGCTACCGCCCGGTCGACGGGCAGCGGGGGTCTCCCGGCCAGGCACCCCAGCCGCAGCAATCACCACCCCAGCAGCAACAACAGCAACAGCAACAGCCACCGCAGCAACCGTTTGCGAGAATCCCACAGCAGCAGCAGCAATCGTCGCCGATACGAACCTCTCAAGGATACCCCCATGCTCAGCAGCAGCAGCAGCAACAACAGCCATCGCCGCAACAAGGCCTGCCGTACGGACACCAGCCACCGGCACCACAGCAGCAGCAGCAGCAGTACCGCCAGCAGCCACAGCCCCACCCGGGCCAGGCCCGACCGTCGCCCCAGACGCAGCAACCGCAAGCGCCACCGCAACAGTTCCAGCAGCCCTCCCAGCCGCCGCCCCAGCAGGTCCAGCCGTCGCCGGTCCAGCAATCCAGGCCCCCCCCGAAGCAGGCCCAGGCTCCCGCCCCCGGAAAAAAGGCGGCGGGCAAGCAGGCGGCCCAGCGGAGGGGGACCAAGGCCCCCCCGACCGCCTCGGGCCGGCGGGCCTCCAAAACCACCAAGAAGGCCACGGACGGCCCGGCCGCGAAATCCCTCGAGCCCTCTTCCCACGAGGGCCGGCTCTCCCTGGCCGTTTCGACGGGCACGAGCGGCCGGAGCGGCTCGAAGAAGTCCTCGTCCCGGGCCAGCGGGGGGCCCCACGCGGCGCCCCTGGTCGGCCCGAGGATCGCGGACCTGGTCAAGTCCATCGACCCGAACTACGGGATCGAGGCCAGCGCCGAGGAGCAGGTCCTCCAGCTCGCGGACGACTTTCTGGACAGGGTCACCCACCAGGCCATCAAGCTGGCCCGGCACCGGGGGTCCAAGACCCTCGACGTCGGGGACCTGCAGATCGTCCTGGCCAAGAACTTTGGGATCGTCGTCCCCGGCCTCGGCCTGCCGGCCGTCCGGCCCATCAAGGGCGCCTCGGTGGCCGCCCGGTCGGCGGCGGGGGGTTCCCGGTCGGCCAAGCGGGGGGCTCCCCAGGACGCGGGCGGGAGCGGGCCCACCCGGAAAAAGGCGACCCAGGGGGGGCCGGGAGGCGGGGGGTCCCAGGCGTGACGTGCTTTGCTTTGGTGTGGCACCACGGAAGCTTCCGGAGGGTGGTTCGGCCAACACCGGCCGTGAAACGCAAATGGTGTCGGCGCAGACAGACCACCCGTTTCCAACAAGGACCGTACACTCTACGAAAACCAAGACAGCAAAAACTAAAATGTATCTTTTTATAAAAAAAGTGATTAAATTAATACAATACAACGTAGACTACCTGAGCAGAGTGCTCCCGCGGACAAACCGATGGATTTGGCTGGCCATGCCCATGGGTGCAATTCGTTCACGATCGCACGGTACAACACAAAAAACTCCCCCGGCTTATTCCCCATGGGCCGGGATATCAACAAGTGCAGCAGAAATGCCATAACGACAGGAACCAAACCATATCTCCCGAAAGGTCGTGCCTTGGTCGTTGGAACGCAACGCAACGCCATGCCATGCCATGCCATGCCATGCAACGCGACGCACCGGGAGACGCAAACACCACCGGTAGGCGACACAAAACACGACGCACAACATTGCACCCTGGTGCCTCTTTGGATGAGTCGGAGTGAACCATTGCACACACCGTAGTGGAGCAAGCACAGTTCCTAGAACTTTGGTTTCTTTCCCTTAGCAGACTTGTTGATGAGCGATTTGTGGATGTGCGGGATGACACCACCACCGGCAATGGTGGCCTTGATGAGGGCGTCCAGTTCTTCGTCTCCTCGAATCGCGAGCTGCAGGTGGCGCGGCGTGATGCGCTTTACCTTGAGATCCTTGCAGGCGTTTCCCGCCAGCTCGAGGACCTCCGCCGTGAGGTATTCCAGGATGGCCGACGTGTACACGGCGGCCGTGGCTCCCACCCGGTGTCCCTGGTGGACGGAATTCTTCAGGAAACGGTGGACACGGCCCACGGGAAACTGGAGACCGGCCTTGGAACTCCTCGATTGCGGGGCCTTCTTGCTGGTCGGGGCCTTTCCTCCCTTTCCTCCTTTTCCTCCTTTACCGCCTTTGCCGGACTGGTGTTGTGTGGTATTGTTTGTTAGTGAGGTATTGGTATTGGTATTGTGTTGATGTGTTATGGTGTTACGGTGTTACGGTGTGTTGGGAAGAGCGAAAACCCGTGAGCAAACAAACAAACAAACAAACAACACAAGTGGTGCAACACATTCTGCAAACAATTGGTGGGCATACTACAAACAGAACAGAACAGAACACACTCCATTTGCGCAATCCTTGGTGAAACCTCCACCGATGCGTTCCGAACGCAGCACCAACACAAGACTCTTAGTGGCCAGGGAGGAAATGGTTAATGGTTCACTCCCGTTTCGTTGCACAAGACCGGCGACGCAGAGCCTTGGACGTCGCAACAGCAACGATTGCCTGCCATTCCGAGACCTGCGGTGCGATAACAACGGTACCTACCATTGTCGTGTTTGTATTGTTTGGATAGTTCTTTCGAGGGGCCTCGGACGATGGTTAACGTTCACACGGAAGTGCAAAAAAAGCTTGAAATAATGGTTGCTGCGGTACGGTACGGCGCCGAGAGTGGAGGCAAGGAGGAATGCGAATGGTAACGTAACGCTACGGTAGGGTTTGGTTCTTTTTCTTGTTCGATTTTGCCGCTCTCGTTGGGGCATTCAAATTGCGAGCCAGGCCGCCAATTCTCCCTTGTTTCGCTGCCGCGCCAGAAAATTTTGCACCGTCTCGGGTCGTCTCCTGCTCTTACGTACTACACGTACGTACAAACAATACTGTATTCCAATACAATGCACAAAGTACTCATCGAATCCACCCACATTTCGCATTCCGAACCCCCTTTTGAATTTCTCCCCCAATATGATATACCTCGTGGTGCCTGTTTGTTCCACTGGAAGCTCCGCCAAGAAGATGCTACAAACAAGGTTATCAAAGAACTACCAGTAGTATCGCACTATACTAGCTAATACTGCAGCAGCTGGACACACCTTGCAAGTAGATTAAACACAGTTCTACTAGTAGCTACTAGTAGCAGTGGTACCTTTGCATTGACAGATCGGTTCCTTTTTTGTGATGATGGATTTGTTCTCTGTGCATTCGCAAATGAAATTAGTATGTGTGATATCGCCCTATTGGGATGACATCGTGATGGAAAAAAGTAAGAATGGTTTGGTGCTCCATCAGTGGTAGGAGGTACCTACTATTTGATGTAGTTTTTGGGAAATCATTAGTATCTGCATGCCCAACATTGGCAATGAATAGGATGTCTCTCGGACGTGACAAACTATGATGGATGAACACGAATTTAGCCAAGCCGGCCGATCAATCTTTTTCCGTTTCGATCCTCTTCATTCCGCACTAGAAACCGAAAGCACAAAATGGAATGTTGGCAAACCAATCACTTTTAGATAAAATTATCCCCGTAATAGCTGTTGATGATCGAATGCTAGAAAGTACTTCTATTAGTATAGATGACTAAGGAATTTACCAGTCACCGGCGGCGGTGGTGGTGGCGGCTTGTCCGCCCTCCCAGAGCCCATTGGCGGGGGCCTCGAATCCGGCGGCCGGGGCCGGGGCCTCGGCGGCAACGGGTTCCACCTCGACGGGGGCGGCAGCAATCTCCTCGTAGGCGGCGGGGGGAGCGGCGGCGGCTTCCTCGGCCTTCTGGGCTTGTTCCTCCTCGCTCTTCTTCAGCTCTTCGACGTCGCGGTGGAAGAAGAGATCGACGGGGACGTCCCAGTCGCTGGTGCGGCTGACGGATCCACGGAGGCGGAGGATCTCACGGGCCAGGAACCAGTACATCAAACCAATCGAGTATTTACCCTTGTTGTTGGCGGGGATGGCAACATCGATGTACTGGAGGGGAGAGTCGGAATCGCAAAAGGCAACCACGGGAAGGTTGACGTACGAAGCCTCACGAACGGCTTGCGAATCGGTTCGGGGGTCGGTGATGATCAAGAGACGGGGTTCACGGAATTGCTTGGTGATCTGGTTGGTAAAGGTACCGGGGGTGAATCGTCCGGCCAGGGATTGGGCGCCGGTGTACTGGGCGAACTTGAGGACGGCGCGCATACCGTAGGGGCGGGCGGAGATGGCAATGACGTCCTCGGGGTTTTCGATGGCCACAATCACACGGGCGGCAAGCATGAGCTTTTCCCAGGTCTTGCCGATGTTGAGGATGTGGACACCGTCGTTTCGGCGGCGCCAGATGTAGTCTTCCATGGCGGAGTCGGAGTTTCGGGTTCCGGTGTGGACACCGGCGGACAACATCATCTGGATGTCCTCCTCCTTGGGTTGGAGGATGGCGGGGAGGGAGGTGGAGTTCATCTTGAAAGGGATGTTTTCGTTGCGTTACTTTACTTTACTTTCCAAACAATTTCAACAGTTGTGTATCGTGGGTCGACGTTGACGATGGTGGGACAAAACACTTCGCCGCAGCAGAGGTGGTTTGCGCTGAAACACTCTTCCGAACATTGGGCAAAACACACGCGTCTCCGCCGCTTATCCGTCCGTCCATCGATAAAAACAAAATAAAATTAGTAAGGTGAGAAAGACGGTAGACGCTGGTTAAATGCATTAAGGTTAAAGTTTTAAAGTCTGGACTCCTGTACGTGAATTTTCCCTCAGTTCGTGCTTTTCACCAAAACCATTCTTTTTTCGGAAAAACACTAAAATACTGTGAAGAAATTGCGCGGTAAATCTTTTGTTTCCTCGTTTACTGTACGATACCCTCCGAACATACGGTACCGTACTACCCACAGCCTACCCTACGAGCAAAGCACTCGTACTCGACTCGCCGCTCCACCTCCGTTTTCGAAACCATACCAGCATTTCTTCTTTCAAAGAACCCTCGAATTGTTTGTCGTTGAGCACTTTCCGATACCATGCCCAAAGCAAAGAAATTAAGAGCACCGGCACTTGTGTCACAGCAGGTTCGCCATGAACCGCTCGGACAGGTAATCGAAGGAGATTCCCAGCGGGGAAGCAAGTATGCTCCCAGCACCAGTCGTCGCAAACGACGAAAGGACCAAGTGGGGGAAGGAGAATTTCTCGATGAAAAGACGTCGCGAAAAATTTTGGATATGAGTCGGGAACAGCAGATCGAAGAAGAAATCGAGGAACAGCGATCTTGGCATCAGAAGAATCGACGCCAACAAGAGCAACAAGCGATTGGCAAGAAAATGCTGGACGACAGCGACGACGAGGAAGAGGAAGAAATCGAAGAAATAATTCTAGAGGAGGGTGAAGAAGAGTAAGTCGGCTGTTCTGGTTCCATCCATTCGAAGCAAATGGTTCGTTGCACACCACACTGTCCTTTGCACCCATTTTGTTTCTGATGATGTTGTTTTCGAAACACTTTGTCGCGGCGACCGTTTTTTTCTTTAGCTACATCGAAAACGACCAAGGATACGTAAATCTAAAAGATGGAGCACTAGGCTTATCGGCAGAAGACGAAGCAATCGTGGCAGCCATGAACTCCGGTGGAGGCATCGAAGAGCGGAAAACACTGGCGGACATTATCATGGAAAAAATTGCCGAAAAGGAGGGTGAAAAGCACGGGGACATGGACGAAGACGACGAAGAAGGCCTCCCACCCCTTCCCGAAAAAGTGGTCGAAGTCTATACCGACATTGGGAAGATTCTCAGCCGCTACACCTCCGGAAAGCTTCCGAAGGCCTTCAAAGTCATTCCGTCGCTCAGCAATTGGGAACAGGTTCTTTACCTGACACGACCGGATCTGTGGACGCCCCATGCCATGTATGCTGCCACTCGGATCTTCGCTTCGAATCTTAGTCCCAAACTGGCACAACGGTTTTACTACTTGGTGCTGCTGGATGCCGTGAGAGCCGATATTTACCAGAACAAAAAGTTGAATTACCACTATTATATCTCCCTGAAGAAGGCCGTGTACAAGCCAGCGGCCTTCTTCAAAGGCATCCTGCTTCCATTGTGCAAGGAAGAGTGCACGCTTCGGGAGGCCGCGATTGTCGCTTCCGTGTTGCAGCGAGTCTCCATTCCGGTCCATCATTCCGCGGTTGCCATCCATAAACTGGCCCAGATGAAAGAGTACAACGGCGCGGCGTCTATATTTATCAGAACGCTCTTGAACAAAAAGTATGCACTCCCCGTGCCCGTCATCGGGTCGCTGGTTCGTCACTTCGCTTCCTTCCTCCACGACGAGCGCGACCTGCCCGTCCTGTGGCACCAGGCCTTGCTCACCTTCTGCCAACGCTACAAAAACGAAATCCAGGACCAAGCGCGGGAGTCCCTGCGGCTGGTTATGAAGGCTCACTTTCATCACAAGATCACACCCGAGATTCGCAGAGAACTGTTTGGAGCATCGGCCTGGAAGGACGAGCGAGCTGCGGCTTCCACCCAAGGCGGAACCAGCATGGTCATGTAATCTTTGTTTGTTGCGACTTGTTCGCTTACGAACGCCGAATTTGTTTGGACCTTCGGCGTGGACGAATGAATGAGCTGCTGCTTCAACCCAGGATAGTTCGTACTACTAGTAGGGCCATGATATAATCTCTGTTGATTTATCGCTTAATTTATCGCTCAGCAGCTTTGAGTTTCGTGCACTTTAAAAGTTCTTGGGGTACTCGTAGTTGTTAATAAGTAATTGTCCATCCTTCGTTCGTTCCGCAATTTCAAACAGTTCTGGAAGTGAACACCAGGCGAAAACAACCGAACATACCTATTCTGCGCAACAGTTCTCGAGAATAGATTCCTTCAATTTAGGGCTGACAGCCTTGTCGTCGAGGTAAACATCACACAAGGCCTTGGCTAGTCCGGGACTAGAAACTTTTCCGCATCCCTTTCCATCTACCGTTACCTCTACACCATCGGTATCGGAACAGTCGAATTCGATCACGGTCCCTTTCACGGCGGCACCCTTGCCTTGTACACCCTCGAAGATAATGTCCTTGAGTTGCCCTACTTCTTCGTCCGAGGAATGGCGCGGTTTAACACTATCGGCGATGGCCTGGGCCATTTTTTCCGAGCCAACCTTGAAATTCATTTTTAAAACAAATGCGGTCGAACTGTTCGATGCTCCCTTCCTGAGGGCGTCGACGGCCTTTTTGCCCTTGGATTCTGATCTAGAAATCGAGGACAGCTCTTCTTTCAGATCTTCCGAACCATACATTCCAACGGAGTAAACCTTAATGGGGCCCTTCTTTCTGGCTCCGACACCGAAGATGGGACGCGCTCTGGACTCGCTGTCGAAACTAATGCCGGTGGCGGGGTCTTTCATCGCCACCGTGCTGGCTGCCAGCAAAGAGCAAAGGACGATCTTCAGAATCTGTCGTTGATTGGTCATTGTAGATGTTTTTTTTGTCTCCACTTTGTTGGTGTTGCCGCTTGTGTTCGAGGAGTCGTCGACCTTGTTTCGTGAACGCAAAAGCACAAGCAAAAGCAAAAGCACAAGCACAAGCACAAGCACAAGCACAAGCAAAACCGTTACGAGCCGCAGAGATGGGGGGAAAATCTTCTTCCGCTCATGATTTCAGGATCCAAGGCGAGGATCTTGTCGTGCGAGGACAAGGCGACAACCCTACCGTACCAAAGCTACGTTCGTGTCCGTACGAATACCAGTTTAAACCAACATGAAAGAAGTTTCTTTTGACATGATCGTTAGGAAGCCGCGTGCGTGTTGGCTCGCTGTTGACACTTCAACGTCACGGGAAATCAAATTTAGAGTTTAGGATTTTCTTCGCATTGGGGCTTCGCACTTGGAACCTCATTTCGTACGTATGTACCGGTACCGTAGGAGATAAACTACGGTTCTGTCTGTAAAGCTGTACGATACGGTACCCAGTACTGCAAACACACAAAAACTGTGCTACTAATATTGATCCCTTATTATTGGCTTGCTACCCAAAAAACTTACTACAGTGCAAAAATGAAGTTATTGCTAGTAAGGTTGAAGTTATGCTCTGAAAAGAATGTAGTAGTAGTAGTAGAAGGTTTTCAACAAAAGTACTGTGGCTGTTTGCTCCTCCTGTTTCCGAAATAGAAATGAAATCATTGGTGCTGGTGATTTGTTGTGTATGCTGCGTATTGTTTTTGTTGTTGTTGTTTTTTGTAAGTAGAAGAGGTTTTCTTAAAAACATACCATTGGAAGTTCTAACTCTTGAAAGCACAACATAAATCCAATTGCTTGTGTAAGACCAAGTTGAAACCACCAACACATTTTCGAAAGATCTCCCCTGTAATTTGTGAACAGTTCTTGCATTAGCAATATTGATTGGAAATTGATTTAATCAAATTCCTTTGTGACTTATTTGAGTTTGATGGGTAATTCTTGATTCAGATTCTTGCAGACATTGAAATTTTGCTGTTGCTGGTGTCGTGTTTTGAGGGGTTAAAGTGATCACTTTTTTTAGTCTCCTTCTTCAAGGATTACTACCTCCATCCATTTGACTTTCTCAGCATCTACACATCAAACATAAAATCCATCAATATTGAGAATTTTGCAATCTTGGTACCCATTTTTCAGTTTGACTGACTTGAATGTACACATGGCTCCATTTGCTCTTGACTTTTCGACATCTGTGTTGTCATTGATCATGACACCAGGTCTAGTACCAACATACAATTTAAGCATTGGATCTATCCTTTTGGAAGATTTGTTTGTACCTGCAAAAATGTCAGCATCTGATGTGGCAGTCAGCAAGCAGTATTTCTGAAATTCTGGCATGTCTCTGTATTTTCTTTTTTTGTCTATCTGCAGTTTTAGGTTTGATGCCTTGATTACAAGAATGGTGTGATCTGGTAATCTCTCATTTATATTTTTTGAATGATTTGTTTTTAGTAACTCAGAAAATATGCCATCATTTATTGCACATTTGTCTGCATTGGTGTATGTTGCATAAGCAATATTTTCTGGGAGTTTGTCCCAAGGTTTACAATTCTTGAATTGATGATTTGAACATGCTCTTCTTTTAACCCATTTGTTCTTAATCATCAAGAAGCTCTCCCCACCAGATTGGATCATCTCTAAACCTGTGGTTAGTTTTAAGTTCAAGAAATGTGTTGGTTTTTTTCTCCAAAGATGGAAAACTTTTTTGACAATAGAGAGTCTCCTCCCACAGGTTTGAGTTGATTGAAGTCACCTGCAAAGACAATTCTTGGTAGATTCCCATACAAATGATATGATGGCTTGTCACATACTAACAAGTTGAGATACTCATTCAATGTTTCCAACTATTTGATGCTAGCAAATGATATTTTGTCAACAATGAGTAGGCAAGTCTCATTTTCCCATACATCATCCTGTGTAACATTGGATCTGTCACAATTTAGATGGCATGTTGGACTTTTATGTGTTGTTTGCTCATTGACACCAAATGCTGCTGTTCCACTCATGCCTGTGATAGACAGAGTTCTGTTGGAAAAGTTCACTCTCAATTCTTATGCAAAGCATCTTACAATAATGACAAACAGAATGAATTACTTTTGATTTTCCAGTACCACCAGCTCCTGATAGAAAACAGATGAACTGCTCTTTGTTGTTCATTGTTGCCTTGAGATCTTGAATGTATCTGTTGCAGCAATTACCAATTAATCTTCCTGTGGAATCTCTTTTTCTTGATCATTCAGGTGAATGTAGAGATTTTTCATGAAGTTTTAAAACAAAAGCAGCAACAATCTGGCTAAATGCATTTTCTTGGTCTTTGTCATTTTTAAAATTCAACTTTGCATACTGTCTGATATTTTCCAAGCTTCCAGTAAATGTAAATTTTTTCATAGCTTCTGCATGATCAGTCTCATGGGTGACAACATCAAAAGTTTTATGTAAAATTCGATACAAAACTCTTCTTGGAAGCTCATTAGGTTTTATATTTTGGTCAACATTCTGTGTGTCATCTGTTGACAAAACCAAGTCACCGGAACCTGAGTTTTGAAGTGCAATTGCATTTGAATATGGTTGGACTTTTGGTATTTTCAGTAGTGTTCTTCCACACTTGTGGGAACCTTGATTAGTGACAACTGAAGTGTCAATTTGTAGCTTATTGAATCTGTCTGTGAACTGAATCTGATCTGGATCATATATCATGATATCCATGTTGTCAGCAAAATTTGCCTGAAGTTCATCTATCAAACAAATATTACCACTTGCTTTATTAGTTTGACAGCAGTTCCCTCCATTTAAGGGTTTTTGTGTAACTTGTTCTAGAGCATCTTTTGGTCTTCCCAAATTAAAACTGCTGGAGAAATCTTGGGCATTTTTCAGCAGTTTTTGATGATTCAGTTTCAATTTTCCACTTTTCAGAATTTCCCTGAATTTTGGTAAATATTTTGAATTTGTCTGGAGTTCTTTTTTTGCATTTCAAAATGGAAAGAATAGAATCATTGCTGTTTTAGCATATTTTTCCATTGCTAACAGTCGGTGATCAACATGTTTTAGATGATCATCAATGTTACCATCAAAAGGGATGCCTCCAAAGCTTTTGCTGTTGGGAAAGTCTTAAAAACTAACAAATGGAATTGTTGGCTTCTCACATTTGAACATTTTCAAGTGATTTTTTGCAGGGTGTGGAGTTGACCAATCCATTGTTTCTTTTTTTTTCTTTGATTTGATACCTTTTGCTGTGGTGAAGCCAGAGAAAAAATCATAAACAGAAACATCTTCAAGTTTGCTTGGCCTACACAAATAATTTGCAACATGAGACTTAAGAAATGGAATGCGTTTGTTTTGAACTGTATTGGAATCCAAAACAAATTACTCAAATTGCTCTCTCTCAAAACAATGAAGACCATAATATTCAAAGTCATGAGAAAAATGGAACCGAGACCCATTATATCAAAGGAGATAGCTTGCCATGCTGGGACCAGAAACAATGTGTGACTTTGTGCTTGAAGTGACAGCACCCATTAAAGCATGAACTCCCTTTTTGCACAATGTAACATTGCACTCACTGTCTTCCTTGCTGTTGTAAAGTTGTTGAAGTTTGTTCAACATATGCTTCCCTGTACTAGCATACACTTCAGTGTCTTCTTTGTTGGTTGACTTGAAAATGTAACAGGTCATATTATACATACTAGTTGATCCACCAGAACAATTTGCAACAGTGTTTGAATTGAGTTGAAAAACAGAACCTGCAATTTCATTGTTGTATATATTAAAGATCATGCACCAGTCTTCATGTTTCCTCTCATGTTCATAAGCAAATACGTTGACTGTGTTTTTGTTGCCCTTCCAGTAATACCAATCAGAACATTTATTTTCAAATAGTACATTTGATTTATTGCAACCTTTGTTTGGAATTTTCATTCTGCACTCTTTCCTTTGGTTTTTGAAACATGTTTTCACATGGTTTTGTTTATGCAAATCATGCAAAGCTGTAACCAAGAAAGATGATCTCTTGTACTGTTCTGATCTGAATTGAATTTTTCCCCTTTCATTTCCTCAATGTATTCCTGCACAAGCTCGATTTCCATGCAAACCTGGTACTTTGACTTCTTCTGTGATGTTGACCATAATGTGTGATTTAAGAATAGTGAGTCCTCACCTGAAACATGGCTTGCTCTTGGTGAAATGTCTAATATTGAATCAAGTCTGCTCATTGTTAGATCATCACTTGAAAGAGCAGTGCAGCATTCTTGACTTCCCTCAAATCCTGATTACTACATGGTATCAGTGTTGCTGTACAGTTTGTGCATTTAGTTGTAGACATTGAGGAGTCAAATATTGCATGCATTTTTGTTGACATGACACTTTTTGCATATTCCTTAACAACATTTGAAATCTTCTCACTTTTTAAAGGATTTCCCATCCATCCCAAATGATATCCTGGTTTGTAACCCACAACAGAAAATGAGCATGCAATGTTCTTGTCCTTGTTCTCCAACACAGTAAGTCCATGCATTCAATGGTCTAAATGCAGATTTTGATGGATCCATTTTTCCTGATGGTTTCCATCCAAGAAGATCTGAAATAGTGATCCTGATTACTTTTTCAAAGTCAAAAGCACACAGACCAGGAAATAGAAGTCGTGTGTTGGAGCAATCTATTACAAACTCATTCAAAATTGTATCATCATCAGTTATCTCTGGAATAGGTGGATCAACCTCATTTGAGCCTGATACCATGACCCGTATCCTAAAGTTAAAAAGATCTTCAGGAGATATAGTGAACATAACACTTGGAAGGCCATGTGGTAATAACATTGAAAAAATTTTCTCCTTAGCTTTCTTTCTTGCGCTTGCACTTGTATGACCCATACTTGAAGTGACTGCTTGGATCTTCTGCAAAAACATATCAGCAGGACCTTGGTCTTCCTTGAATGATGTTTCCTGCGTACATTGATGTACAAGTCTATCAAGTGCTTCATCTAATTGCTCACCAGTCAGTTTAGCAATATCAACTTTTTGATCTACTGAAACACTTGTAACAGCTGAAAAGAGCATTTTTTTGGTTCAAAAATATTGTGCAGTACAGTAACAAACTCAGGTCTGTGAAAGGTTGAATCACTTTGTGATTCAACATGAGAATAGAATTTTGTATCATTTCATGAATATCTCTGTTCCAAATTCCAAGGAGGAAATTCAGTACAAAAGATTTCAACAAATTATCATCTTCATAATCCTTGAGTATGTTTTTTGAATGTCTTCCAATCAAAGTGTGATTATCCCTCATTATACCATCAATTGTAGCAACTTTAAATTCTTTGTAAGTTTCCTTTCCCCCATTGTATTGTGTTGCTGGTGTTTGTTGTGGGTCAGGGAAAATGACACGCGTTTTGATAATTTTCTCAACATTAGGCAGAATCCTGAGATTCAACACTTTGTGAACAGTCAATTATTTCTGGTACACTGATCTGACTGTCATCAATTTTGTCATCCTTGTAGAGAATATTATTTTCCTTCAACCATTGCATTGCTGACTTTACACTGTTGATGTTGACTTCAGTATGTTTTAGTGCAAGAGCTCGCTGATCACTGGTGGTAAAATTTCCCACTAATACCACTTGAATCATTGTAGCCTTATACTTTGTATAATTGCTGGTTTGTGGAATTATAATGTCAGATTCAATTTGGTCATCAGATTCAATTTGGTCTTCATACAATTCTTTATCTTCACTTTCCTGTTTTGATGAGAAGTAGTGCTCCTCGTAATAGTTCATGACTCTGTTTGTCTGTTCAGCATCACTATCAAAGAGAGTATGATAACCTTGGATACTTTTGTGGGCACCTGCCACTATGTGATGCTAAAAGGGCACCTGCCACTATGTGATGCTAAATTGAATGATCTATCTCACATTTTTGACAAAGTTATGGTCCTCATAGTGTTTTGGGGGTTCCTGGTCAATTACTCTACTACTATAATTTGCCCTCTTAGAGATCATAGGCCTGAGGGGAGCTGGCAGCACTTTGAGAGCCAGTGTTGCCAAATTTTGCTGTTTCAGAGACTGACTGTGTTACAAAGTAGTCCAGAGCTTTATCCAAAGACAACTTTAGTATTAGACTTCCAGACTACTACTAGTAAGGGCCCTGACCAAGTTTATACAATTACCTCCTAAAGGTTTGTGTCATTGGGAAGCCACCAAAGGATGCTGTAGATGAGGCATAAACTTCTACTAGTAGTCTTGGTGCATGACTGAATATTGTATTGATTTTAGCTGTCATATTTTAACTCCAATTAAGAAACTCACACTTTACATCAGCAGGGGTCATAAATTTAGCAGTAGATGGGTGTAAATCACATCAAACAGTTCTGCAGCTCACAACAAACACTATATTCCATCCTTGGTAAAAATAAGAAAAATGCCTAGTAGCACACATGCTCCTCAACCCCACTACCAACCCCTCCCCCAACATCTGGTGGCACAAGGAAATCCTCTCCTGGCACAACGCACACCATCACCACCATCTCCTCCTCATGGCACAAGCAAGAAGAAGAACAACATCTGGCACTCACAACAACAACATCATGCGCAGGTAGTGGTGGTAGTAGTAGTACTAGAGCATCCGGCAGTGCATCTGACACTACATCTGACACAACATGCACAATTCTGGCCTTTCATCTTGCATCTAGTAGAGCATCTGACACTACATCTGGTATCATCTTGTACGCATAATTGAATCTGATGGAAAGGTGAGTAATTCATCGCGTTCTTCTTTCTTGTGATCAACATGATTCCCGACTCGAGAGAAGAAAACGACTGAACTTCATTCGCTTGTGAACATCTAATGGTACGTGTATGTAGTACTGAAGTTCTTTTACTAGTTTGTTCTACCAAAAACTTTAACCAAACTAACCCATCGGATGGAAACTTTTGAACACCGTGAATAAGCAATAATTTTGGCGGGTTCCAACCGGTCGTGTCATGGTCTCATACAAAAACTCACGTTCTTTTTTTCTCCGCACTCAAGATCGCAAAAGATTTTATTGAAGATTCTCGAAAAGAAAAAAACGGTCCTCATCTATTTCCGTTCATTCCATCAGAAGACTAACGACCACAAGGCATGACAAGATCAATACATCGATATTACTCTCAAGCAGTATTTGCAAAGAAGAAAACATGGCCGAGAGGAGTTGCGATACAGAGTTGGGGCCTGCTCTCATCCGAGTCTCCAGCAATTGCCGCTCCTTCTCGAGATTTCGCATCTTTCCACCGCAATAAGATCGAAGGTGAATTCGGTGCCTATGCCAAGCAATACGATAACTCGATTCAATCTCCCGAAATCTTTTGGAAGGAGGCAGCTGATTCCCTTCATTGGTTTGAAGAACCCAAAACATCGTTGGAGAGAAATGAGGACAACCCGTACTTACACGACTGGTTTCCCGATGGTAAAATCAACACAAGCTTCAATTGTCTTGATGTACACGTCAACAATGGGCGCGGGGACCAGAAAGCTCTAGTTTACGACTCCCCTATGACCGGAAAGAAAGAGGAATATACCTACAACGAACTCCTAGAGAAAGTTAGTTTGTTCGCCGGCGCCCTCCAAAACGATTTAGGAGTCAAACCAGGGGATCGTGTTGTCATTTACATGCCGCTGATTCCACAGGCCGCAATTGCAATGCTTGCGTGCGCTCGCATTGGTAAGTCTCGTGCTGTTGAGTTCCTATGGATTGAGTGTCGAAGAATCCGAACAAGTTGTTATTCACTTGCTTCTTGAAAATATGCTCTCTCTATTTAGGAGCTGTGCATTCCGTTGTCTTTGGAGGCTTTGCTAGTCACGAGCTCAGCAATCGGATCGACCATTCGACCCCCAAAGTAATCATAACCGCAAGTTGTGGAGTAGAACCGACACGGATTATCCCCTACCGTCCGATTCTTGATGATGCATTGCGTCTGTCGAAACACGAAGTAGAAAGTGTGGTTGTAGTTCAGCGTAGTAACGTCGAAGAGTGTGAACTCAAATCGGCGGACGTTGATTATGACGAACTCATGAAACATGCGGAGCCAGTGAAAGCATTGCCACTGCCATCAACACATCCCCACTATATCTTATACACTAGTGGTACCACCGGGCTCCCAAAAGGAGTTGTGCGAGATACTGGTGGTTATGCAACAGCACTGAAATACTCGATGGACACGTTCTACTCGTCACGTCCCGGTGATGTCTTCTGGGCCGCATCGGATATAGGATGGGTCGTTGGCCATTCGTATCTTATCTATGGCCCTTTGCTTCATGGTTGCACCACTGTCATGTACGAAGGCAAGCCCGTCGGTACTCCCGACGAGGGTGCTTTTTGGCGCATCATCGAAGAATACAAAGTAAAAACAATGTTCACGGCACCGACGGCCTTTCGAGCGATCAAACAGTTGGATCCTTCTTCCGAGTTTTCCAAAAAGTACGATCTTTCGTCACTAGAAAACGTTTTCCTCGCTGGAGAACGCAGTGATCCCGAAATTATTCGTTGGCTCGAACGAACGTTGCCTCACATCCCACCGCCCATCGATCACTGGTGGCAAACAGAGCTGTAAGAATACGGAACATGCTGTGACTGCTTGTTTTCGACACCTTGCATCTAAAAAAATGCTAACTATTTATTCTTGTCTTTTTCGCTCTTGATACAGTGGGTGAGTTGGTTTCTCTCATTCTAGAATTTTAGGACGATTCTTCAAATGCAAGTGCAAATAGACCGATCTAACAACTTTTTTGTTGTTTTTTTCACTTAGCTGGCCGGCTGTAGGGAATGCTACTGGACTGGGAAGGGTGCCTATCCGGTATGGTTCTTGCAGTTTGCCGGTAACCGGATTCAAAATATCGATCGTTGACGATGAAGGTAATGAATTAGCTCCAAACGAACTAGGAAATATGGTAATCAAAACACCATTGCCCCCGGGGTCTATGAAGACTCTGTACAAAGATGATGCCCGTTTTGTTGAGAAGTATATGCAGAAATATCCGGGTTATTACGATTCTGGCGATGCAGCTTTTATTGACGAAGATGGTTATATTTCTATCATGGGAAGGACCGACGACACCATCAATATTGCGGGCCACCGGCTAAGCACGGGAGCAATGGAAGAGGTCCTCTTGGAGCACCCAAGTGTTGCGGATTGTGCAGTCTTCCGCGTCAAGGACGACATCAAGGGCCACCTCCCTTTTGGCATTGTGGTTTGTACCAAGGGCACGGACCCGGCGGATCACGAGCAGATCTGCGACGACCTCGTGGCAATGGTTCGCGAGAAAGTAGGCCCCGTGGCTGCCTTCAAAAACGTTTCCGTAGCAGAGTGTGGTCTGCCAAAGACGCGGTCGGGAAAGGTACGTCCGTTGCGTGCTTGCTTTTCGCGTGTGAAACAGAGTGCGTGGCATTCCGAAGCTCGTCTCACGATTTCCCTTKCACGTCTCAACCGCGCCTCGAACAGATTCTGAGGGGCATGATGTCGAAAATCGCAAACGGTGAAACCTACACAATATCGCCGACGATAGAGGACAAATCCGTGGTCGAGATTCTAGAGCCCAAAATTCTCGAGATGGTTGGCAAAAGGGTTCGCTAACGCAAGTACCGTTGCAACAGTTCCCATAATTCGGGCGATGCCAGAGCTCGAATCAATTTCGTGGCATTCGATTTTTCCTCGTCGAAGTAAAATTCGTCGTAGTGCTTTCCAAGAATAAATTCTTCGGCTTTCGCGCCTTTGGCTGGACTCAGCGCCAGAAATCGAAGCAATTGGTTCACCGTTTCATCCCAATTCGAAGCATAATCCTCATAAAACAAGGTCAGCACAGGCATTTTCTTGTTTGCGACAAGATCGATCGCATGGTTGTGCCACTGAGTGTAGGTTATGAATTCTGCATAACAGGGAATGTTCTTCGCAAACTGCAACAACTCATCGCTCAGAACGCGTTGGCGCATCTCCTGCTTGAGGGAATCGGTGTCCCTAAAACGACAATAGGCCCGGAATCCATCTTTTGTCTTGTTGAATCGGTCGACCCGTTCCTCGTATTTCTTGTCGTTGCTCCGGCGTGCCCACCGTCGTTCTTTGAGGTGCAATCGTGCCACAATGTTATCGAACGGATCACGAATTAGATGAACCGCCCTCTTGGGAATATCCGAAGAGTATGTTGTCCGCACTTTCGTTCTATTGACTATTCGCTTCCCGCTGCGACAAGCTTCTTCGAAGGCACCCAGCGTGTTGTTGTATTGTTTGCTGCCCGGAGTCTGACACGCATCGCATTCTCCGCCACAATGCGTTTTGGTAAGGATGAACTTCGGTGGCAACGACCAGGTCGGATAACGAAAGAAGGGACCATCTATAGAGTCTGCAAAAATCGATATTGTTTCGTTTTTGGTATCCTGCTCTTGTCCATAGTTTGTAGCCGTCGTGGTCCGGGTGTAATCCTGTATTAGATGATTGGTATACGTCGTTCCGCTGTTGGGGAACGACATCAACCACGCAACTTCTAGTGATTTTTCTTCTCCTCTCTGGAGCGGTTTGTCGATGATTTCCACGCCGTCAATTCCTGGTGCAGTATTTGTCGATCCGGTGTCGGGCGTTTCTGGCTCGTCGATTGTGTTCTTCCCAATACCAATAGAATGGTCTTTCGTTGATAGATTGTCAGAGCCTTTGGAAAGGACTTCCTTGGTCCCGTGCACAATGTTGGTGGAATTGGACTTAGCATAGTACGTTTGTTTCACATCGAAAAATATCTGAAGCTTTCCATAAAACTCGAGGATCGAAAACGCCGCCAAGAATGAGATGGATGTTAAGATGAGACCGTGCCTCGACGATAGCGGCCTTCGGTAGCGATCATTCTCTCCCATCACCGCGATTTTCCTCCTTGTCCCAAAGATATGCAGCAGCCTGTACTCAGGCGGTGGTTTTTGGGAACGATTTACAGTGCGAAGGAGCGTACACCGGATTATATATTGTGTTGACAATGCGAAGGGGAGATCCTGCTTGTATCAATGTGGTTCTGAATAGAAGTAACGAGTTGGGATCAATGCTCTGACGAATACGATACCTTCTAACATGAATTTTTGAGAAGATTTAAAAAAAATTAAAATTCAAAATTCAAAACCTACCGGTTTTTGATTCAGGACTGACAAATATTTGAGTCTTGTGGCGCGACGCAAGACGTCAATCATAGCCATCCTTTTCCGTAAAACATGCAATAAAACATCCAACACATCACCACACATCACCAAAATCTTGCAATCGAGCTTCTGAAACCCGTCTGGATTTCCCCAGCCAAGAAAACGACAATCAACCGAGGACCCGGGAACAACCCTTCGATCAAATCAAACAGCACGCAGCCGTGCAGCATATATACGAAAAACCAAATACGACAAGAACCCCGATCATGTACAGCGTAGACGTTCTTGGTTTCGGGGGACGAGCTCCTGCCGAGGTATGTTTGATTTGATAGTTTATCATCTTGTGATGCGCTGTGGTGTGTGCCTTAACAGGAGAAGCTACGGTTCGGCGAGTCGATTCGATTCGATTCGATTCGATTCGTTTGCAGAAAAAGTAATTAATGCGTTTTCGTTGCGTCCTTTCTGTGTAACGCTGCCGATTATCTGTTTGTCTGCCAGGTGTTGGATTTGCTTTCCAAGGCTCGCCAAGAGTGCGGAATCGAAGAAATCATCCCCAGTCGATCGCAATCCATCCGGTCCGCTCTTCTCGAAGCCCCGTACCGCACTTTTCTACAGGAATCCTGCGAGAACCCAAAGGCAACGACGTCTCCACTGGTCTACTGCCTTCCCACGACGGTTACGGAATATATTGCCTCCTCCGGTGAGGCGGATCTCGTGCGTTCTAGAATTTTGGCCGGTGGCGTCGTCCTTGCATACGACGTTGCCGGTGCCGCGCTCGTCGGAGGATCCGTCGAAGACGCGCTGTCGGCAATCGCGGGAGACGAAAAAGCCCGGTCTGCCTTTGCCGGGGGAGCACTAGCGGCCGTGTCGAAACTCGACGCAAGGGCGGTCGAAGAAGCCGTTGGTCCCTCGAAACGAAACGATGTCGTAATCGTGGTCGGTTCGGGTGGCCGAGAACACGCTCTGGCCGTCGCTCTGGCCAGGTCACCACTGGTGTCGGAGGTTCTGTGTTGTCCGGGAAACGGCGGAACGGCGTCGGAAGAAAACCCAAAAATCAAGAACAAGGGTGCCGATCAAAGCAACAAAACCGTAATCGCTCTTGCCAAAGAAGTAGGAGCCAAAATGGTCGTGGTGGGTCCCGAAGCCCCCCTGGTGGCTGGATTGGTCGATGAATTGAGTGTCGAGTGTCCCGATGTCCTGGCGTTTGGTCCTTCAAAGGCTGCGGCCGAGCTGGAAGCTAGCAAGGCATTCAGCAAGGATTTTCTTCAAGAGTGTGGGATTCCCACCGCGAAGTACCGCACCTTCACGGATGCTTCCGAAGCAATAAAATACGTCGAATCACTGGACGACAACGACAGACAGGTGGTCAAGGCGTCCGGACTCGCAGCCGGAAAGGGTGTGCTATTGCCAACTACCAAGCAGGAAACCATCGATGCCGTCAACGAAATTATGTCCGACAAGGCATTCGGTGATGCCGGAGACACGTGCGTGATCGAGTCCTTCATGACCGGGCCGGAAGCCTCTTGTTTTGCTCTCTGCGACGGGAAAACCGCGGTCCTCATGCCCGCTGCCCAGGACCACAAGCGCGCGCTGGACAACGACGAAGGCCTGAACACCGGGGGCATGGGGGCCTACGCACCCGCGCCCTGTGTGACACCGGACCTGCAAAAGGAAATCGAAGCCATGTGCATCAAAACCGTGGAGAAGATGGCGGAACGGGGTACTCCATACGTTGGTCTTTTGTACGCTGGAATGATGTAAGTATGTGTTCTGTTTCGCCAAAGGCTTGGTGTGTGGTGGATTTTTGCGAATTCGGACTCTCACTCTTCTTCTCGTCGGTTCATCATCTGTTACGGAATGCAGGTTGACTCCCGATGGACCCTCCGTGCTCGAGTTCAACTGTCGCTTCGGTGATCCAGAAACTCAGGTTGTTCTTCCGCTTCTTGAGACCGATTTGTACGAAACGATGGCGGCTTGCTGCACCGGAACCCTAGACACGGTCGATGTTCGGTTTAAAGAAAACATTTCGGCCGCTACGGTTGTTTGCGCCGCGAAAGGCTATCCACTGTCGTATCCCAAAGGAATGGAAATTAAGGGGCTCGGCGAAACAAAATCGATGGAGGGTGTAAAGGTGTACCACGCCGGAACCAAATTGGATGAAAATTCCACCACGCGTTGTTCCGGAGGCCGTGTCTTAGCGGTTACGGGACTTGGGTCGGATCTCAAGTCTGCCTTGAAAACAGCTTACAAAGGCGTTGATGCGATTTCTTTCATCGGCGATGACGGAGCACCGTTGATGCACAACAGAACTGACATCGGAAGGAAAGCTACGCAGAAAAAGCTAAGAATTGGTGTTCTTGGGTCAACCCGTGGGACTGCCTTGATTCCCGTCATGGAAGCGTGTGCATCTGGTGCATTGGATGCCGAAATCGTTGCCGTCATCAGCAATAAATCGGATGCCCCAATCTTGGAGAAGGGAAAATCTCTGGGTCCAACCGTAGTAACCAAGTTTGTGTCTTCCAAGGGCTTGTCTCGTGCACAATACGATGCGGAGTGCACTGCTGCACTCGTTGGTGCCGGTGTTGAATATGTTCTTTTGATCGGATACATGAGAATTCTTTCTGGATCCTTTTGCAAATTTTGGGCCGGGTGTTGCATCAATGTTCATCCATCGCTACTGCCAAAACATTCCGGAGATATGGATCTTCGGGTGCATCAAGCAGTCATTGATGCAGGGGAAGACGAATCTGGCTGTACAATTCACGAGGTAACGGAAGAGGTAGATGGCGGACCGATCCTAATCCAAAAGAAAGTCTCCGTGTCAAAGGATGACACTGCAGAAAGTCTGAAAGCAAAAGTACAGCCACTCGAAGGGCCAGCCTTCGTGGAAGCCATCGAGAGTTTTACCAAGGGAAAAGCCATCAGTTATGCCGATGCTGGCGTGAGCATCGATGCAGGAAACGATCTAGTAGAGATGATCAAACCCTACTGTAAGGCAACTCGTCGCGCAGGTTGCGATGCCGATCTCGGGGGTTTTGGCGGTCTCTTTGATCTTGCTGCTGCGGGTTATGATGCAAAAGAGACTGTTTTGATCGGTGCGACGGATGGCGTGGGTACAAAACTGAGAATCGCTCAATCAACGAAGAAGCACGCTTCTGTTGGTATTGATCTTGTTGCGATGTGTGTAAACGATCTTATCGTTGCCGGAGGCGAGCCGTTGTTCTTCCTTGACTACTTCGCTACGGGTCATTTGGACGTCCACGAAGCTTCTGACGTCGTAAAGGGTATCGCCGAAGGATGCAGACAAGCTGGATGTGGTCTCATTGGTGGCGAAACAGCCGAGATGCCATCCATGTACGCTCCCGGAGACTACGATCTTGCTGGATTTAGCGTAGGAGCCGTTGCTCGAGATCGTATTTTACCACAGAACATAGGTGCTGGGGATGCCTTGCTCGGTCTAGCTAGTAGTGGAATTCACAGCAATGGATTCAGCCTTGTGAGAAAGCTGATAGAGAAAGAAGGCCTCTCATACGACAGTCCATGCCCCTGGGATTCTTCAGTTGAAACAATTGGTGATTCTCTACTCACTCCAACAAAAATCTATGTGAAGGCGTGCCTGCCTCTACTCAAGAAAGGCATCATCAAGGGAATGTCTCACATAACTGGTGGTGGTCTACTCGAAAACCTTCCACGCACTCTCCCGAAGGGGATCGGCGGAGAAATCACGAACCATCCTAGTCTTCCTCCTGTGTTTGCATGGATGAAGACTGCGAGTGGTCTCGATGACAACGAAATGCTTCGTACTTTTAACTGCGGAGTAGGAATGGTAATAGTTGTTGATAAGGAGCGTGCGTCCGAAGCGAAACAAATGTTGCTTGATGCTGGCGAGGATGTCGTTTATGATCTAGGAACTCTTGTACCACACCCTGAAATGGAGATAAAAATGGTCAATCCGTTGACCAGTAACTAAACGAATATCATCCCTGTAACTTTTAATCATTTACCATCAGCTAAAAAGTAATCCAAGAAAACTCGATGTCTCCCATTCTATGCCCTTCTATCTTTTGAAGACGACAGGCAAGAAAGAAAACATTCGCTAGGTCAAATTGTGCCATGAGATGAGGGATGATATTGATACTCGAACGTATTTCGAACAATACAGTATTACTGGTTGTAGTACTACTACTAGTAATTGAAATAATAAGTGTCGTTTCCCCTGTAAACAAGCTGAACACGAAAGTGATAATGTTTTTCATCCCAATAGTCCGTCCTTCATCCGTTCTAGCTCGACGAAATACGAGATACTCCTAGAAGTACCGTACGTACGTAGCGTACTGTGCTAAAAGTATAGTACGATCCTGTGAATTGTCTTTCCGTCATCCGTTTTCAAGAATTGACTCGTTGTAAGATTGGCAAAGGACTCGTATGGTACTTCATTTTCAGTCATGCATAAATAATTAGTAACCGACTAGTTACTCAGTTTTTGCCAAGTAACCGCGCGCTAAATTACCGCGGGTTACCAAAAAAATCGAGTAACCAGTTGCTAAGAAACACGTGTTATTTTTTTGCAATATTTGTTGCACCTCAACAGGCTGCTTCGTTACTCGACAAAATTAGTAATCACAACGGTAATTTGGAAAGCAGCCGTAGAAACCCTACTGACAACTGTCGGCATCAAATTTGGTAATCAACTTGATTACTTTTTCAGACCAATTGCCCGCACCTATTATGAGTAACCAAAATCAATTGCTATTTTCAATTAATGTGCACAGTACCAGTAGCTAAGAAGCAGCAAAAATTAGCAGTACAGAGCCTTGATTCACTATTTTGCCGTAGAATTCTACGAAACATTTGTACCAGAAATAAAAAATTTGCATCGAAGAAGCAATTATCAGCGTCCTCTGTATCAGCGTCCTGCTCTACGTCACACAAACCGGATCTATGGTACTGCGC